GTTTCTTTTTTAGATGCCCCAAGCTCACATGCCAAAGCGTCAGTCGTGTTTATGTTGAGTAGTTTGGGAACGAGGAAAAATCATTTCAAAATGGCGGGCGCGCTTAGCGCGTGGGCGAATTCGGTTGCAGTCATCACATAACACTTCAACTTACCTGTCGAAGATCTAGATTAGATTTGCAAAATATCCCCAGACGCGTACATCATATCTTTTTTTTCCTTGCATGCTGTCATATCCACTTATTTTTCTTTTTGGGGGGGATATAAAGACAAACACAGCTTAGTCTTATTATTGAAATTGATTTTATGGCTTACCGTGAATGCTCTCTTGCTGAACGAAAGCGCTTATTCTTTTCAAAGATGGATTTGCGCCGGGGGGGAAATCAATTTTGGTTTTTTTTTGCCCTGCCTCAGGTGTATATTAACAATGTATACTCAGTGTATACCCTCGAAGGCTTGTGAAAAAACCACAAACATACTCGGATGGGACTCGAACCCTTCGGGGGCATACACTGAGTATACAGTGTTAAAATACACGTCGGGCAGGGGAAAAAACCAAACGCTTGTTCTGTTGACAATGCCGCAGAAATCATCCAATTACGGTACGTGTATGTTGATCAAGATCTTTATTTATTAAGGGAAACAAAATTTATTTAAAACAGAGAGGTTGGCGGGGAAAAAACGCGGGAAAAATACATTAAGCAGAATTATGTGCATGTATCACCTTTTTATCATGAAACCCAGCGGTTTCTATCGATTGCGCTCCAAGACATCTGTAGCGGCTTGAGCCTTGGGGTCGGATGCTACGGACAGCCTCGCCCCAGAATGAACAATATGCCTGTTTGGAAGATCGCTGGGTATAAGATTACGCACACCAGAGGCATACCCCCCCCCATCAAGCGCCAAATTGAAAAGGAGAGAGATTAAAGTTCGGTGATGAATTCAATCAAGTTGGTTCTGTCTTCCGGGGTTTCTCTTCCTTTGTAACCCAAAACAACATCTACGCCGGTTCTCTTGGGGAGTAAGGCCTGTTCTTTGCCTGACAAATTCGCGCGCGGTGGTCATTCTCCATCTCCATCCAAAGATGAATATATTCATCGCTTGTCCCTGAATGCTGCTTCGACTGATATTGCTCATTTCTTTGGAGATCTTTGTCTATTGGCAATCTCGCAACAGCGAGGAGTGCACGCCTGCATGATAAGTACTAGGATGTTAGATTTAACCGTTGAAACAGTTAAACGAAGGGTTTTCCTGATCACAAGTTTCTCGGAATAAGGCTAATACTCGCCTAATCGTAGTGAAGTGCTCAAGCGTTATCATTTGATTAGTTATAAGTAACAACATTTCACTGTCCAATCAATTTAGGTAAAGTCGAGTATATATTTTGCTGCTAAGCTGTGCAAAGCTGCCTCGATTGTAAATTTGCCAATTGCCAAACTTTTGCAAAAGTCTAGCATTCAGTTCTTCTTGGAACTAATCGCTCAATTTCTGTTGCACATCCAGATAATTATGCCATGGACTTTGAGACGAGGTAAAAACATTTTGTTTGGGATTTGATAACAGCGTTTGAGCTTTCTTTTTAAATTGTTGTAGATAAATTCTGTGAATTTTTCCCATCTCTGCGAAACCCCCGAGGAAAACGACTGTAACGAGAGGAGTGAGTCAAATGAAGTGGCCTGTCTGAGCCTCCGACCTTTCTGGGGAATTCGGTGCATTTGGATCGATGAGAAGGCGTGGTTCCCGACTCACCCGCGGGTCAGATATACACAGGGTGAGCGGCATCGACTCCAGACACTTAAATCGCCGCTGAAGGCTTAAACTCGATCACCTCAATCCGGCTAATCAGCCAGGATTGCCCGTCACCATGACACGTTCCCTCCGTCAGTCCGAGGCACCCTAAAATCCATTTTGGCGCGCTTTTGAGCCAGAACGTCTCGTCTGATTTTTTTCCCCTCGCTCAACGTTCAAGAGCCTGGCGAGCTCGACACCTTTCGCGTTGGGGCAAAGCTTTTTTCTCGTCAGCCGATCGCAGTTCGGGTTTTTTGAGTGGATTCTCTGATCTTATCTAGATAGATATTCATTCATTTGCAACTGATTCTATGAAGTCCAAACCTTTCATTTCTCATTACGTTCGCAAAGCCTGGTATCACTGTCAGACGACTGTTTAAAAACTGCTCTTTTATTTGTACAGGTGTCATAGGCAATAGAGATGAGTTTATTCGAAGACAGCACACTGTTTAATTTGGATAGCTGTCCGATGTCCACAGGTTGCTCTTAAATTTCATTTCGGTAGCAAATAATTAGCCATCCAACACCGTGCCGACAGCAGGGTCAAAAGACCTCCCGGAACTTCTGCAGGCTTCAATTCTAGTCCCACAAATTGAAAGCTACAAGAATATCAGCAATTCACTTAATCAGGGTTCCTGCTATTGTAAGTCTCTGATGAAAAGGCTATCTGCAAGGATCGGGTGACCGGTGAAAGAGTGTCTTAAGTTTTTTTTGGGGGGGGGGTGTTAGTCGTATCACATCACGCGCGCCCTTCTGTTCTCACCGACTATGCATTATCGCGCAGATTTGTGAACTGAACGGGCTCTCATTATCGAGACCTCGATCAAGAAATTGCAATTATAACGCCTGAATACAGATAATGTGAAAGTGCGAGGCAGTATTCATGGTCCATCAACTAAAAATCTGACTAGAGTGTCCGATTTCCTGTAATTGGATGCTGAGTCGGTGACTTTCCCATTTTACGTTCGAGCGTTCCGCCCTGTGCAAGATATACTCGCTGATTCTCCTTCAGAGACACTAATATGGTAGTTTTTTGACAGTGAAAAATTGCAGCGGCCATTTTCATCGTAGAGCCACACTCCACGGGCCACAATTTCCTCAAGAAGCTGACGATGCATACGTAGAAAAGCTAGACATATAAGCTCATTCAAAACCTTAATTAGATGAGGTCATTTTGACCAAGTTGCTAGAACCAAATTCTAGGTAGAGCACTGCTTTATATTCGCGTGTCCTAGGTCATCTGTATGTTCAAAAAAATATCCATTTCAACGAGTTTGTTCATTTTGGCCGGAATTAACCCCAAACTGTGGTTATTTTATCCAGTAATGTCGGTAGGTATTTCTCAAATGTTTCTCGAGCTTTTTTACAAAGCGTAACTATTTGACCGTTATCACAAAACACCAAGGAAAATGGCGTCTGTTTTTAATACCACATTGCTTTGGCAACCGCTGTCACTTTGGTGCTGAATTCACCTTCTCTTTGCGGAGTTGCAGCTTCTGAAATGATATCGTGGGTTTTGTTTGTTTGTTTTTTAATTTTTGATGATCTTGCTTTGAATTTTCTGATTTGACGTGAACCCTTCGTGATAGATCACGAGGCTGCCGAGCTCAGTAACGTTAGCTAAATCCGTGTCCGTATCACTTGGCCGCAGCTTGAAATTACACACACCTCTATGGGAACTAGGTACAGCCACTACCGTAGACTCGTGCCGCAAGCCGCAGCCAAGTGAGTCGGACACGGCCTGAGCACCTGCTTAGCAAGTACCTAATGCCGGTCAAACTTTAATAGCGTGTGTGTGTGTGATGTTAGAAGCGGGCTCCCATTAAGTTGCGTTAGTTTTGCCTCGAGGTAAGGCGACTTTCCACATGCGCGTCAACACTTGCGCGAAGCGTTGCGTATCCGTCAAAATTGCTCCCGGGACCGGTTTTGACGGCAAAACGCTGTGCACACGTGTGCTATGTTAATGGAGTCGATTTTTGCGTTCGTGAAAGTGAAACGCATGAACGTATGCGCAACGCACCCCCAAAAACGTACATATGGAGAGCCACCTTTGAGCAAATTGACAGAGCATGGGAAACGCATTCCGGAGCAACCGCAAAATCGTGAAAATAGGCAGATAATGCCTTAAATACAAGTCACCCCTTTAAAATTTGAACAAGTCAGAAAAACATCAGGCTCACAAAGGCTGATAGTCTATGCCAATTAAACGAGAAAGCGTTCCTAATGTAGAGAAAGGTGATAATGCCAAACAGAAATGCCCCGCCAGCTTCTCTCTCAACCACGTCCCCAGGGCATACCCCGAAGCCTTGAGGCTGTTATGCCTCGCTGCGCAGTATTGAATTTGGCCGCACGTACAGTCAGCACTGTCACCTCCCCAGAGCTCGCCTCCACCCGACAAATACCAGCCCGCGATTCATAATGATATATATGCCTGTCTCTATCCGCGAGTAAACTGTGCACCTCGTATGTCCGACAATTTACTCAGTGTATACATTTTCGAAGGGCCCACTTCAAATTGCCGAGTGCAGCAACCCACTTGACGGCGACGGAACAAGCCGTCCCCGGAATTCATTTTGACGCACCCTGCAGGGACCCCTCTACTTCAGCGCTGTTCTTTCGCGCGTTTTCTTTTTCTCCCGGTACACGCGTCCGACCTGCCAAACTCTTTGCACTTGAGAAAAAAAAGTAACCCTATACGCGCTGTCTCTAGACGGTGTATACTAACACATTCCACATTTGGTTGTTCCCGTCATCTGCATGACGAGTTTAATTTGGTCTCAGTAGCGGTGCCAGCCCAGCGAGAGAATTTCACTCAAGAGAGTTCTTCAAATTTGAACAGGACGGGGTCCTTCTCCTTTTTCTCGGTTGGTTTTTCTGTATTGTTATCGCGATCGTCTGAGGCTATGTGTCTATATATATCTCTTAAGGCGCTGGACGTATTGATCTGAGTCGAGCGGGAAAGTTCTAGATCATCCGTAGCTAAGTCATCGTGATCCTCTATAAAGCGCGCGGAGCGGGCGGGCGACGTTTTTGGACGAAATTGGTTTTTATCTGGGTGACAGGTTGAGGCACGGGCCTCTTTCAAATGTGCGGTTGCTTACAGCTCGGATTTAATGTCTCAGCGGGATATGCGGACAGTCCGTAGACCAGCCAGCGTCTTCACTTTTCTCTCTCTCTATCTCAAGTTTTCTTCGTTTCCTCGTCTCTTATTAGGCAGTGCCCCTGCCACCACGGAATGATGCTGCCACGACCCCCTCAGTAGCGACCACGGAATACACGGAGTTCGCCACGATCTACGGTACCGAGGAGGTGAGCCCGGGTTCGGAGAACGTCACTGGCCCGAGCGACTCGCTAGTCGGGGGACTGGGCTCCTTCGACGGCCTCTTTGATATGGCGAATTTTAGCTTCGAAAACTATTTTTGTGATCTCACCTACAGAGAGCGTACATCGGAGCTTCGTCAAACAGGCAAGCTATATCCCCTTTTCTTGTCTCGTCAAAGTTGGTTTGAAACTTGACTTGATTTATGTATCAGCACAGAAGGCATGCTCGCACTCGTGGGAATATGCCACTAACGCTGTAACGTATACAATGAAATCACCGCGGTGCTATATTGGCGCTGATACACTGGAACCTACACTGGTCAATATCGGTCCGTTCTGCTAACATAGATTCGTAAATTGCTAAATGAAAACAAGTGGTATTTATATTTTCAAGTACGCTGCAAAATTTGCTGTTTTTTCTGTCAAGGAAAGAGACCCAAATTGGAGCCAATTTTAGTCGAATAAAGATCATTAAATTATCTAGAGGATCTTCCTTTTGTCTGTTATTCAATTGAAAAAAGTGTGAAAATCAGAGGCACACATGGTCTCAACTTCAGCTTGGTGAAAAATCAAATATTCTTCACAAAGTGTTTTTTATTCCGTCATGAAGCATTATTATTTCTGCGCCGTGTTTGTGTTATTGTTCGCTTTTATATCCTGTGCTCGTTGTTATTTCGTCCTTTAAGAAGTGTCTTTATTCAAGTTCGACTTGCTGCAGTTGTTCGCAAAAGCTATACGGCCCTTGTGCTGAACAAAGTACACGGTGTTGACATTGTAAAATTTTCCTCTCCGCTTTGGCTCGCTCGTCTTCCCCCACTCTTAAAAATAATTCCAATCAATTTATTTCACTGCCTGTCAACAGGAATCTCGAGTTACATATCGTTCCATGCATGTGAAAAGTGTACACGTGCATTTCAATTCTGGTAGCCGTAGGATCAACGCAAACCATTTTTTTCCCCTTCACTTTGTGACAAATTCAGCAATCCTTTTCCCCTCTTTTTCCGTCAAGCGTTGGGGATTATAAAGACGCATTCACGTCATCGGTGGATTGGTTTATTTAATTTGCTGGAGGGAGGAAGAGGCGGGGAGTCGGTGACGGGCAGACAGGGTCTCATGAAACACGTTGGTCAAACAGTGATGGGCATCTGTTATGTGCCCAACCTTGGGTAAAGCTACCACATTGTTGGTCAACTGTCCCGTCACTGCTGGTCAAACATGGACCAAAGATTAGGAAGAATTTGCCCAAAGGTTGCTTAGGTGATATTTCTACCAACATCGGGCAAAATATCAACCCCAAATTGACCAACTTTTTTACAGTGATAACGGGCCGATACGCGCCGCAAGACTCGGGATGTCCCCCCTCCCAACAACAACGGCACAGATAATGCTGTTCTCAGAATGTACTTCTTTTTGTTCCCGGCAACAAAGACGAGCGAACAATGACCAGCACAATGCCAGAGTGATCATTTTTAATATTCGTCTCAGGATGAGCAGTATCCTGTGTCATCCCCTTTTAAAAACCTCCCTTCATCCTGTTTTGTGTTAGGCCCATATTTTCCTTCGGTGCTTTGTGTCCTGTGCGTGAACGAACCAAAATATAAAAGTATTTTACCCCGAAGAGCCTAGGGCAGTTAAGAAGCAGTCAACACAATTGTATCGTGGTTTGTCTCTTATTAAAACAGACTTGAAATAGCATTTATTGACCAAGGAATATATATATACCAGACTGTTTATATGGATATGTTCGCCGACCTCTTGACTGACACGTCACTCTAGGCCTATTAGAATTAAGGTTATTGATACCCTCACATTTAATGTACAATTTGAGGGCTTGATTTATAAAACGTGGTTGGCATCATTAGCCGCGCTGGGTGGCTGGGGGATTATTAGACCCCTTACCTCTACCTCCAGTTTGCCCCCACCCCCCAAAAAAATCCGGCAGAAGAGACAAAAGGGAGAGGAATATCGTAAAAGAAGAAGAGACTCGAGGTCAATATTTCTCTGTATATTGAATGCATGTTCACAACTGGAAACCGTATGAAATGCGTATATAACCAGACTGCACCGGTGTTTGCGTATTAAATATGGACCTACAATGTATAAGTGCGGCAGCCCCCGCCCAAGCCCCCCCCCAAAAAAAGGTGTTTTGTAAATTAGAGAAAGGTGATTTATTTGGTGTATTTCATTCCCCTTCTCTCCACAGCTTGTAAAAAGCTCCCAGAATATAGCCCCGCCCCTCAAAAGGCCATACAAGGTTACATTTTAAAAAAATCCCAATATTTTTCGGCTCCTGAGAACAAATCCCCCCCGGACAATTTGGTTTCTGGCCCCATCATTGTGCTTAAATGCATGTATGTGGGCGTACTCAACAGCGCCGTGGGGAGGAAACAATTTCCGAAACCACCACTGCCACCCCGCTTTTCGATTTTTACACACGGCCAGTGATTTGACCATATGGTCCCCGGGAAATGATTTCCTTTTGCTTACTTACCTCCTTTCAACTTTCATTGTCTGGTGCCGCTACTGGTTGGTATGGCTCCTTAGACCCCCTCCCACATAACTACAGAAAAATACACAAATTAACAACAACTACTCGTGACTTCTCGCAATTATACGTCTGAAATGAAGTTACTTGTTGCATGTTCCTGTCTGTCTGTCTGTCTGTCTGTCTGTCTGTCTGTAGTCGTTTTATACTCCTTGTGTTTATGGGTTCTGCGTTTTTGTTTCTTTTCTTTATTTGGCTTTTGAATTAAAAGAAATCCTTTACCCTCTCTTCAGAATTCTACAAAAGTGAAGGGACAGTACAAATCATGGGGTTTAATCTGTCTATCGTATTTTCAGATGAATAATGCACGAGTTAATTCAATCCGAGAGTTCTCAGATTTGAGGTCCAGCTATGCAAGGTTTTTGTTACCACGCGGCGTAACAGCGAAAATATCCGGCGCAGAGCATACATCAAAGGCCGAGGTATGCCCCAAGAGGGACCCCGCTGCCAGTACTTAGTTCAAACGAGTTCATAATTAGGTCACTGATGCTTGCCACGTTAATTGATGGAGTGGAATTGGTCTAATTATGTGCCCCTACGGACCTCGTGTTCGGTCAGAGGCGTATTTGTATCACGCCGGTGCGTTGATAGTCGGAAACCAACAGCAGCTCAATTGACAGTCGCCGAGTTTGCGCGCAGGTTGAAACGTCCCCCGGCTACGAATTCGGCTACAGTCTAAACCTGAAAGTACTTTTGGCGCCAACGGTATAAACCCCACGCCTTTTTTGAATGACAGGCGTGCGCAACGTGTCAGAGGCGGCGGGGCATGGAGTTTATTTGACAAGCCGCCGGCGCCCGATACAGCGTTCGTGACCAGGTAAGGAAAGTCTTAGTTCGCGGTGCGCGAGACTGGCTTAACATCAGACGTGCATTACCCGTGCCGGCATCTCAGTGGACCTATCGACAGCAAACAGCATGCATACCCCCAAGGCCTAGAGGGATAACTTGTCAAGGCCTTGCAGAACGGGAGATGTTCACTGTTGCTGCTTGCTCGAGGCTCGAATACGGAATGCAATAAAAAGGCAAACTTGATGCACAAGTGTGAAACGCTTGGCATTTGTTATCCACTTCGACAAAAGGGCCCATTTTCACAGAAAAATTTCCAAAACATAAAACTCCAAGAGAGTGATAGTATCACTAATTGTTACTTGACCAATAAGTAACTGTAAATTTATTATACGGTGCCGTTAAAGTTCACCTAATACCCCAACTTTTTGTCACTGTTTTTTAATCAAGAGACATCGCTAATTTCTTTCAATAATAGTTTTTACAAAGTAATCTATGAGTACTTTAATTCCGCTTCATTTGGGCAAAAAGTACATGTACGAGTACATTTTTCTCCATTTATAGTAATTCTGAAATAACGTTTGGTTGCTAGTAGCAATTTGACATGCTGAGTGGTGGAACTGAAAAGAAAATGATAAATTGATTGATGAGAACCCTGTCTGTAGCGACAACTGACATTAACGGTCATCTGCAAAAAGAGCCAGTGGTTGTCTCGGAAAGGTTTTGCATTTGGATGTGGCAAACCGTCGAACAGCACTGAGCCAGTCTGGTATTACAATAGCGCATGCCCCAAATGAAACGCGTCTGAGGTCATTCGGACGTGGGTGCGAGGTCTGCCGTATTCCCGAATGACCTTGCTTTTTTGAGAAAAGAAAAACGAACTGACTAATTGAAGGATGATCTAAAGAGGGTTTTTTCCGCGTATACAGGGGTACCTAGGAGTGTTATAAGTCGGGGTTGAACCACCTTAACCGGGCAGGGAGGTTGGAAACACGTCGTTAAAAAAATAGGACATTTCTAAATTGAATAAATACGATCATTTTGTTTTGGTTTCGGTCATTTTTTATGAGTTGGGGTGGGACAACGATTGGATAAGGGCTGGACGATACCTGCACAGCAGTGGCGTTCAGTCTGCATCTTTGCTAAGGGTTTTCAAGTCTGAAGAGCAGCTTGGTACCGCGAGGTATACATGTCTGATTCATTAAAGGGAAGCGGTGGACAACCGCAGTGTGCGCACTTATACGTGTTCATGTCGTTCATTAAAAATCCGCCCATACAAGTCAAGTCGGCTTCTTGTCGGGAAAGGCCCACACACACAAGGGAGCCTAAGTTTAGAATATCAACAATAATTTGACGTCAATCCCACGTCATTCCTTTTGTGAGAGCTTCAGGTTTTTTAATAACATGGAAATTGCAGTATCAGTCGTACTTCTCGCCGGGCCGCGTGAGGACGAGAGCATTGTAACCACTCCGTCAATGATTGCCAAATGAAATTCAATAGTACCAATCTATTTAATGTCATAACATTGAGTCGCAGAGGAAGAGCCCATGAAAGCATGTTCCCTGACAATGTATTTCTATCAGCAAACTGACGTTGCCTGACTCCTTCACGCTTTGTATTTTGTTTTCTTTTCCATGGTCTGATTTAACCAAACGCAAGGCACGATGTGGCAATTTAATGTTGTGATTTATTATTTGGTGGTCTTTTTAATTTGTAATATAGACACTGAAATGCCCTTTTTCTTGTAATCCTTTCAAGATAAATTGGTGAATGCCTCTAAATATATCTTCATTTTGTCTGCAGGTGCGCTGTTCTGTAATGCCTCTCACGATAAGGTCATGTGTTGGCCGCCTACGCCAGGCGGGCAGAACGCCAGCCTTTCCTGTCCCGTCTTCAATTCTTCCGGTGGGTTGCTGTTGCGTCTGGCCCCCGTCTTTGATAATTACCTTAGAAATGTTACAGTTCCCCGCTTAAGTGCTTTTGCTCCGTTCAATCCGGGATGGTAATCACAATCACTAGGTATAAGCCACGCCAGTTGGTTATAACCGCACGAACAAACCACATTTTGCTTATTATGAAGTTAAATGTTTGATATAATATGAAGCGCATAAGATAGACTCTATAGAAGTTATGTTTCTCTATACACCATTACAGTCACAGTTTATATCCCTGCTTATTAAGCCAATGTCAAGACCACTTTGTGCAGCCAAGATCATCCCACTACCTTCATAGATACCCATATACAGTTCTGGGGAGATTATATATAGTTGGGGGCAGAAATGACGTCGTCAAGGCCTAACATGTGACCAGCTTCTGGATTCGAACCTTCGACCCGTGGATCAAGGAAGCACAAAGCTTAACTACTGGGCCGCTTTCACGCTCGCTGCAGTCTGCGAGGTTTTGTATAAAAGACTGGTCCTTGAAAGTTAAATGTCTTTGGTGTTTCACTGTTGTTCCCGTTATTCCAACGAACATTTTCACGGAACAATTGCGATTCACTGTTGGAACAGAAACGCATCTCCAGATAAACAATGTTTTCCTGGAAGGACGTCACTTCAGAAACGTCACCCATTTGAATTGTTTGAAGATACGCACTTGACGTTTGAGAACAACTCAAAAGGAGTGCCCAATAAATTTCGTGCTTTTTCAATGATGCTCAGACAGTTGCACCAAAACGCGCGTTCATTTAAAATTCCAGTCCCCCATCCTTTAAGGGGGGTCTGTTTCCAACGTCCACCATGTCTTTGGATCCCCTGGCCATCACGTTGCATGTTTCGGAAATGATCTTAACGAAGTTTTTGTTTTTGTTTTGGTACATGTACCCAGCCCTCAGAGCTTACAGGGCGTGTGAGAACACAGGCAACTGGGCTAAGTGGACGGACTACACTGAATGTCTCAAAACCTACACCGCGCCAGTAAGTCCGATGATCTTCATCAAGCTGGCTTTCGTTCTCAAAAGCCCTATAAATTTAGCTTTGTCGTCAAGCTGAATTGCATAATGTTTACCAAAAGCAATATTGGTACAATAAAAGTATTCTCGTTGGTAGTGTTCCTTTTCATTTCTAGGAGTTCGTATTTTCCACGCTAAATTGAGGAATAAACATGTCTTTTTGACAGACCATTCCAGGGGAGCCGACTCATCAGTCCGTGTCGTATATCTGGCTTTGTGGATGCATACTCTCTCTCATCTTTCTCGTCATCATGCTTTTCATCTTTTGCTACTTCAAGTAAGTCTTATCAGATTCTTTTTTTTTTTCTCAAATCCTGTATGCTCAGGTCATTCCCCTGCCAGCTGGGTCCCAGACTCTCCTGCTCGTGAAGGGCACGGATATATCAAAGGACTGGTTGGGAACCAGCCTTAATACTTTGCCGTCAATTTTTCGGACCAGGGGAATCTTTGTTGCATTTCTCCACAGTAGCCTGTACATTTCATTTTCCCCAAAACAGGCAAACAGCGGCAGTAAACCAGAGAAATAGTGTCTTCGCAGCGACCTCTTCAGTCCACACAAGGCGCCCTAAGATTTTTGTTTGATTGCTTGTCTGTGATCTAAAAGCTGACTCATTGAATATGCGTATTGCATTATATTAAATAAACGCCATGACCACCTCTTTAAAGCCTCTGCCAGCCGCATATTCTTGGTACCATTGGAAACTCCAATATGACGAGCAAAAACATTTCTAATAGGCTAGGCCTGCTTGAATCGTAAAGAGTCGAGCGGGGATTTTCCAGGCTACGTTTTACCACTCTGAGCAAAGGGTTGACCCAGTTTGACCCAGAATTATGTTCCATTCGGCGTGACCCTTTTCTGGGTCAAACTATAACCCCCTTTTGGATCATATTTGACCCTTTCTGGGTCATATTTGACCCGGAAAAGGGTCACGCCGAATGGACCTAATTCTGGGTCAATCTGACCTGGGGGGGTTTTAGAGTGTGTCCTTTTTGTACTTGGATGAAACAATCTAAGCAGATTTCATCCTATGAGAAGTGCTCGTGTTGCCGCCCACTTGCATCCCTCCAAACGTCTTACTCTTCTGCTTCGACGTGCATAAAGCCTTCCCCAGAAAGGTGCCACACTGTATAGAATTATGTGTCTTCATTATACGATACCGGTATTGGTCGAGTTTGCTGAGAATAAGAGAATACCCTAGAGAAATTAGGAGACGCGCGGAATATGTATTTGCCTGTTTGTTTGTTCCAAACGTGGCGTGTCGTCTTTTTTTTGCGGGCTGCATTTGCACAGTTTTGGCGCCAAGGGATTCCGCCCCGACCTTACTGCTCAAACAAGGCGGGTCGTTTGTAATTAATTGCCAACGTTCGTTGGAAGCGTTGTGTCGCTTTTCTCGTAAAAAAAATAGGTCTCGTAAAAATAGGTGTGTCGCCACGTTTACAGCTCGGAACCTCGGCGTGTTGATTTTTATTGTTTATCTTTAGTCTTAAAAAGTTTATTTCTGTAGCTCGGAGAAAAGTGTGTAAACGAGCCATCTTTTTGCAACTTAAAAGCACCGGTGTTGATATGTTGCGTCCATGCAAAATACGCGAATGATGTCAGGCCTTAATGATTTCTCTTGACTTTCTCCTTCATGATGGTGCATGCGTACCGGGCCTGTTTATCTGCTGACAATCGGAGAATCCCTGCGCCGCAACGATTCCTCTCATTCAGTCGATATCCCGTTGTGCGACTCTCAGTGTGGAAATCAATGTCTGCGGACCGTGAGACAACACCTTATGTGCGCCTCTGTGCAGTTTCGATTCCATTAGTTCGATAGCAATTCCTGGATGAAGGAGATACCAATCACCCCACGCTGCCTTAAGTGCCAAACATCATTGATCACTGGTAGGCATAGAAAGCTATCTAATTAAAACCCGCACGCTATACAATTCTAAGGTGTGCCTGTAATCAACTGTTATACTTCCTTGAAAGGGTCCCTTGCAAAAAAAAATTATCTGTATTCTTTAAAAATCCCCTCAATTCTAAAAGAACCGAATTTCATTGAATTTCAGATGAAATTTGTGCCTGGTTACATTGTGCGGTATTCCTACCCCCCCCCAGCAAATCTCGCCTGCTGGTCGTACAAAACTGCTTGTCAACTTTGTCTTTTATTACCGTCTAATTCGGTATCTTATCTGCTGGGTTAATGGTTGACTTTCCTGTCTTCACCAGCCCCTCATTCCAAGGGATGATAGTCCCGTTGACGGCACGTTTTCCCCTCCCACACTTCCGGAATCCAGAGGAGTTTGGCTTTAAGTTAGTCTCTTTCCCAGCCGGGTTTGTTCATTTTATCTCTACCTCAGTATTTACCTCATCGCTCATACTGGGAAATCGTTTCGATGTTGTCCCATTTGATTTCGGCAAACCCGACCGTTTGATCTTGGATATAGCACGTTCTGTTGTCCTGTGTCTCCTTCTCTGCACTCTAATATGGGTAGCCGATCGGCAGCAACCGTTCATGTGATTGTCGCGTTTCCTTTAAAGGAACAATAGCGATCACACTTGCAACTTTGGAAACGAGGCAACCAGTCTTTGCGTCACTTTAGGTGTCCAGGATGCTGATGCACCGATCGGCAACAACTGTTCACGTGATTGCCGCGTTTACTTTAAAGGAACAATAGCGATCACACTTGCAACTTTATAAACATGGCAACCACTCTTTGCGTCACTTTAGGTGTCCAGGATGCTGATGCGCCGATCGGCAACGACCGTTCACGTGATTGCCGCGTTTACTTTAAAGGAACAATAGCGATCACACTTGCAACTTTGGAAACAAGGCAACCAGTCTTTGCGTCACTTTAGGTGTCCAGGATGCTGATGCGCCGATCGGCAACGACCGTTCACGTGATTGCCGCGTTTCCTTTAAAGGAACAATAGCGATCACACTTGCAACTTTGGAAACGAGGCAACCAGTCTTTGCGTCACTTTAGGTGTCCAGGATGCTGATGCACCGATCGGCAACAACCGTTCACGTGATTGCCGCGTTTACTTTAAAGGAACAATAGAGATCACACTTGCAACTTTGGAAACGAGGCAACCAGTCTTTGCGTCACCTTAGGTGTCCAGGATGCTGATGCGCCGATCGGCAACAACCGTTCACGTGATTGCCGCGTTTACTTCAAAGGAACAATAGCAATCCCACTTGCAACTTTAGAAACATGGCAACCACTCTTTGCGTCACTTTAGGTGTCCAGGAAGTGCGAGATCGGTTAAAGGTGGACTGTGGGCTTGTGAGTTCCCTAACGGTGCGCGACGACTGTGGTACCTCCCACGTTTTAACAGCAACCCCCCCCCCAAAAAAAAACCAAAACCAAAAAACAACCTCGACTTCACGGGCTGCGTGCACGTTCCTTCACTAGATCGTGCAAGGCATGGGGGGAACCAACATCGCGCGGTATTAGATCATCCCCTTGGGAACGAGGTTGTAAAATGACAACTTACTGGGCAGACTGTGTGAGATGCGCGTATAGTGCGCACGGAATGCACTTGCTCACTGGACAGAGACATGTACAATGCACATGCACAGCACAACGACCTGAAATGTCCACCAAAAATATAATATATAATCAGTGCTCTGAGATATGTAATTGCTGAGCTTTTGGTAACTGAGTACCTTCTTCAGGGCAAGCAGATTCACTTCTGAATGCTCGGCAATGACATATTTCAGAGCACTGATTATTTATCCATATTCTTGTCAATATTCTGATCACGGTGCTACGCAGCCCTTGCATATTTCTCTGAAACGCCTATCAAACGTCTTGCCGATCCAACCCATCTAGATCATACATGTAGTAAAACTAGAGGTTTTAGGCCCATTCTTGTAGCCTACGCTGCGCCATGTTTGCCCAAGAAGAGGGCGACATTAAGCTACCCCCTTAACGCGCATGCACGCGCTTACGAGATCACGCGTACCAGTAGGCGTACGCTTGGTTCCAAGTTGTCTGTGCGTTGTGGGACAATTTTACCCGCCCCGTGATCTCCAATGCAGTTACTCGCATTCGTTCCACGGGAAACTGTTCCTCCTTTTGGCTTAAAAGTCATCTTCTTCAGTAATGATTTCTAGACGATGAGGCTTCGCATAGGCCTAATCCAAGTTAGCGTAGCGACAGCTGACATTGACATTCTAGGAGGATTTGCTGCCCATCAAAAGGAGAAGTCTTCTCCGGTTGAGGAATCTGCAGGTATTAGCAGTATCTTAGGAGTACAATATGTTCCTTTCTTGTTTTGCTAACTCCAACCTCCCCTTCAACATTCCACGTCAAACATCTGCAGGCTTACGCTGTGTAAAACCGTACGGTATTCTTAATTAAATGGGGATTTGTAGGGGGGGGAAGATAGTGGAAACAAAGAGCAGTGTGAATGGCAAACAACCTGGAAACAGGTGGCTTTTCTTGTAATAACATAGCTGTTATATAAGTTACAGGAAGTAATTTGAATTTTGCACGGCGCGGCCGGGGAAAGCTTCAGCGTGAGAGTAGATATCCAAAACTCATTTCCGCCTCTTCTATCTCCTGTGAGAGCTGCTCGGAGGAAATATACAGAAATGATTTGACTTGTCGGCTGGGACGGGATGAAATTACAAAGCTGGTTGTCATCGATATGTCCTTTAAGAGCCCCTCCAGATCCCAGTGGGGTCTTCAAGGAGCTTTTATTGACCTTTTTTCTTCCTGATGGAATGGCTTTAGTTGTTCCAGCCCATGCAGTAATTGTATCCAAACATGCGATGCGGTTGTCTGCTTTTGTCTCCTAAATTTCACCCGCCCTGACCGGGGGCACCATACTTTTTGCAGGGGTCACTGAAAGCCGACGGTGGTTGTTCAAGAGTACAAATAGGGGCACCCAGGGGCACGGACCTCCGCGTAGGGAGGTGGAGGCGGTACGGTTTCCCCTCCCCATTTTTGCGCGCGGCACCGAATTAAAGCCACACAGACCTGATACTGAAGATCGTGTATTCAGAAGAAACCACCAGTACATTATGATAGGCATTGTGCGTTCCGTTTAACGGTGGGCATTACCTATTGTGCTCTTGGAGGATCGCAGAGATCAGCACAGCTTTATCCTTGTGCGCCAAATGGAGCGTCCTTCAGTTCAGGGACTGAGATGCCGTCGAATTGTCCTCACCTAACTCTTGTATTTTCACCGCTGAGGACGCCCTCGCTGTGCAGTACGCCCTCAACAGTATTCATCGGGCGTAGTCGCGTTTGAAGGCATTCGCACTTAATGTTTCGCTGTATTATGTCTATAAACGAAACAAAACCTTTTCTGGTGAACATTCTTTGCTCAGCCGTAAATTACTTGGAAAAGCAAGCAGAGAAATGCATCTTATAGCAGGGAGTCGAATGTATGGCAGGGCTTAAGCATGGAACAGTTATTAAGTAAACACTACAACACACCACATCAACCCAACTTAACCCAAGCCAAGCTAACATAACCCACCCTCACCTGACCCAAGCCAATCTAAGCCAAGCCAACATAACCCAACCCGACCTGATGCCATCCAAGCCATCCCAACCTAAGCCAACTCAACCCGATCTGACCCAACTCAAGCCAACCCAGCCCAAACCAACCCACACAAGCCAACTTTACCCAACTAACTCACCCCAACCCAAGTTAACCCAAGCCAAGCCAGCCCAAGCTAACCAAACCTGCCCCTAAGCCTAAAGATACCAAACCGAGCCAAAAGCCTCCCCAAGCCACCCAACCCACCAATCGATAAATGAAAAGTGCTTGTGAAAATATTTCTTCCTCCTTATCGATGGCAGGTCTCTGCAGTGCACCAGAATCAACATCCACAAGAACCTGGCGGTGTCCTTTATTCTGAAGTATATTTGTATGATCATCCAGCTGTCGCCGACGCTGAGCAGCCAAAACCCCGCGGATGAATATTACGAAGGCGGAGATGTTGCACCAATTGCCAAAGCCAATGACACCTCGGAGCACGTGGTAAGTCCAACTACTTTTTAAGACATTGGTTGAAAAACTAGACATGAAATCTTGAAGTAGATGCTACCAAGGCATAAATACCAACATTACAAATGAAATTATGGGGGGGCTTCATAAATATTACCCCTGCCCACCAAACCACAAATATTTTTTGAAACCACTGTCTTTCTGAAGGCTCAGTACCCACCTCACGTGTATGCATTTACTGTTGACAGTTATCGGTAAATAATGTTTGACTGCAGGCATTTACGATACCCTGCAATTTATAGTGAGGTGTTTAAAGGTTTTTTGTTGTTGCTGCAGCTGTTGTTTGTTTGTTTGTTGGGGTGTTTGTTTGTTTGTTTGTTTGTTTGTTTGTTTGTTTGTTTGTTGTTGTTGTTGTGGTTGTTGTTTCTCTTGTGGTTTTTGCTTTTTATATTATCATCAATTGGCGCTCTTACTATCTTGGGATGATTTATGTAGCAATGAAGTACAATCAGTCACCAAACTCTTCTCTTTTAATTAATGTTTCCTAAGCCAATGCCATGTATCGAAGAGAGCCAAAAATGCTGCGGTCGTAAACAGGGGTAGCAATGACGACACAGGTTACCCAGCCATCTCACTGTTATTAATGACTTCTCATTACCCAAGCCTCGACACATCTTACAAAACTAGCAAGCTATTAAGCTGTTTGCGGCATCTTCTGTCGAAGTACACCATTCAGCCTGAAAAGCCGTGACGGGTGCAGCTCGCACTTGGAGCCTACTAGACGACCACGCTATGCCAATGATAGCCTCGCCGCTCGCGCGCCCACGTCAATGGGCCGTGACGCCGGGCTCTCGAGTTGGGAAGGAGAGGTCCACGCGTCTTATTGCGCCGGTAGTGGTTGCTGCGCTGTACTGAACAACATTGCCTCGTGTTTACAGGTTTGGGGTCAGCGAGAGATTCAGGATTTGTCAAAGGGTTGGCCAAGGAAATGAAGACGGTAGACCGAAGGACTTTGGCCGGTACTGAGAACCGTTATTTGCCGTATAGTGACATAATGGATCTTTCCACTCTATCCTTCAAATCGCCCGCTAACTATGCAAACGCACTCTGAATCAAAATGACACTTTAGATTTTTTTCAATTCTCTGTAAACACCCTTACTTCTTAAATCCACACAACTTGTAAGTATTCGGACGCTAATCAAGTAAAGATAGCAGGTCGAGTAATAAAGTTTGTTGACCACAAAAATCTTTTGAGTCGGTATGGATTCGGTATGGAATCCAGGCTCCTGATTCATGTAACCGTTTCTTCTTGTCTGCCTACCTGGATGTGTGTGGTATTCTTTAGGAAAGTCCTCAAGAAAAAGTCCGTTACATAATTCTAGCTTCCACGGAGATCATTTGGGTAAAACTTGAGAGGCTTTCTTTTTAAATTAGTTTCAAAATTACCTTTTCCCAGCAGCAAATGTGCTTAATGCTGATACGTTTGTTCTAATGAATACAGTGAGTAATAAATCTCTCCACTCAGTGTTGATAGTTCGGCCCACCGGAAATTTCCTTAATATCAAGCAACCGATATCAATAATTGTACAAGGCTTGTTAGACAACAAAACATTCCCGCTTTAAGTGAGAAAATGAAACGACCGGGTAATTAAGATTTTTTTTGGGGGGGGGATCGTTGCACCATTAAACGGCGGTCGTGGTAAGGTGTTTTGCTGCCGCTGTTGGGTTTCGAGCTTGACCACGAGACTGCGCACTTTTCCTAGCAATGGAGGCTCCTTTGGTAGTAACTACGCATCGCTGGTTCACAAACGACCATGAAACGCAAGCGTTGCAGTCTCATCGCTACCAACAAAATGAACACTCCCGACCAACTTGACTCTTTGCAACCGATGAGGGGGTTGCTTCTGCTCAGGGTGGATAAGAAAAATAACACATTGGATGGACTTCCGTCTTCATTTTGCTGTTATCTTTCGCTTGATCGATTCCATTCTCTTTGGGTCTCAGCTCAGGATAATTAGCTTCTCCTTAATTCAGTTTGAATGGCATTATGGTGCACACTCGAAGTTGTCAAATTGCTTTCATTGTGTATAATGTGCATAAAAAACATCAGTGCCATACATGTAGGTATTTTCATAATCGCACCGGTACGGGCTGAGGATTATGAAGATACCTGTTGTTTGTAATAGCCTCAGTGTTGCTTTTGATAATACGGGCGCTTCACAATAGTGCGCCTCCAAGAGTTTGCAATGCGTTGACCAATCACAATGCGCAAAATCTGTCGACCCTTTCCAAACACGCATTGGGTCGACAGATTTCGCGCATTATGATTGGCCAGTGCGTCACAAACTCTCGGAGGCGCACTTTTGTGAAGCGCCGGTGTTCCATACTGGTGTGTTAAGTTGGCTTTATTTCTTTGCAATTATCTGTCTTTAACTGATGAATGTCCCGTCCCAGTGTCAGTTTTTCTAGCTCCTTGGAACTTGTCATGCTGGACTGTTTTCAGAATTGCTTTGTTACACATCTACCAGCAAGGAAATTTCCCTTTTCCCGCCGTATTCTGTACTTGTAGCTTGTCTTCTGCCGTCTGCTCACCGTACTCCTGGAATATTTCACGATGGCCAACATCTTCTGGATGTTCGTGGAGGGGCTGTTCCTGACCACTCGCATCGCCGTTGCCGTCTTCAGCAACGAGTCCAACTTCAAGCTGTACTTGCTCATTGGATGGGGTAAGGATATCTTACAAAAACTGAAGTGAATGGTCTCGGAGTTGCCTGTTACCGCGACTGCCTTACAACACTGCGATTCCTGCGTGTATTACTATGAGAAGGGCGCCGACAGTGGACTTATTCTTAGGCACTGCTCTTCCTACCTCGACCCAAGAGGTCACTCATGCAGTCTTACAGTTTGGATCTTAACTGACAGCCAGGAAACGACCACAACGTGCTTGAAATATGCCACCACGTTTTTCCCTCTCAAAATGTAGTCAAGTTGTCTGTGGAACTAAGAGAACGACTGCACTAGACGTGTCCACAGAATTGATTAAAATCCTTCTAAGAACGGTGCCGATATTGTAGTTATGTTAGGGAGAATTTGAAACTGGCAAAAACATGTCGCCTCGCCCCACATGCACAGTGGATGAGAATAATCCTTCTGAGAAATCTCTTTTGTAAGAACGTCAACTTTTTTCTTCGCTAAGATCATAAAGTTTGAAAGTCTCGGATACTTGTGATCACTCGATCCCATCTCTAGTTAGGGGTGAAATTAGACTTTTTTGCAGGTGGAATTTCTTTCGTCGGTTCCTTTTGAATGACTCTGGCAATGATAGCCTCTGACTGAGCTGGGTTCCTCAGACGTGTACTTTTCTCTCATGAATCACATATGCAATTTCATTTATATTTTTCTCGCCGAATCAACAAGAAGACAACATGTTGTCTTGAATTTTTTTAAATCAAAGAGCTTGGAAGCCAGTTTTTCTATCCTGCTGCTAACCGTCAGGACCCGGAATTTGACATTCTTCCGAATTTTTTTCTCAATTCAAAAATATGAGGAAATTTGTTACTTTGAAATAAAGAGCTGTACCAAGTACGTGCCTGCATATTAAAAAAAAAAGACTGCTCGGCACACTTTGATAGCTATAACGTTGAGCTTGGCATGATATCAAAATGAAACCCTGGCTGAAGTGCACCTTCTTATTTTTTCTATTTGCTCCCTTCGTCATAGGATCTCCTCTGCTCTTTATCAACGTCTGGGTGGTGCTGATGGCGATATATGACCCAAACCCCTGCTGGGAAGACTACCATGCAGTGCCCTACATCTGGCTGATAAGGGTTCCCATGATCGCTGCAATCCTGGTTCGTAAACAGAATTCCGAATGAATCAGTTTGGTATCTCAAAAAGGGCTCGGTCATCATTCGGGAGCGAGCAGCTGAAGTCATGGCGTAGGGCCGTACCGATAGGGCCTGAACGAACTAATGATAGAGTGCATCCGAATCTGTTGTCTAGAGCTAGGACTAGGCCTTCACTCCATGGAAGTAAACGGAGATGCACGGAGCCGTAGTTCAGTTGGAAGCTCATTTCGGACACGACGCTCTTCGCTTTGAGCATGCGTTGTTGAAATGCCGAACTGGCTCGTTCAAACAAAAGTACAAACTTTGTGCACAACATAATACCAAATTTATAACAGTACAGTCAACAAATTGGATTTGGCAGAAGAATTTTTGTCACCAATCTGACAGTGAGCTTGATGAGTGCGCTGGTAAGCGTATAGAGCTTTGCTTTTGGCATTTTTAGCTGTTAAATTGTTGGAAAGAACACGAAAGAAACCTCACGGACACTCAGCGAGGTTGAATAATAATCTCTGATAGGATGGAAATGTAAACAGCCGTGTGCACCGCGATTCAGTTAGTCGTCAATCTCCTGTACGAATGGATATCTAAACTCTGTTTATAAATGAGTCGGTGTGTGTGTGTCTTCTCCACCGCTAATGCAGCGCTCACTTGCCTCCATTAGTCCCCGACAATTACCCAATTTAAACCGTTCATGTCATGTGCCAGCGAAACCTGCCCAATAATACCCCCCAATGTTCACTGGATGTTGGAGGGGGCACTTGGACGTGCCCTCAACTCGGACGTGACATTTGCTCAGCCTGCACCTGCCTTCATCGCCCGAGCCCGCCAGAAGCAGATCATTATTATCCCCCTAGAACCAGGCTACGACGCGGGCCGGTAATCCACTCAAGTGTTTAGCAAGCCTTTGCGGCATCGTTCAATTAATTACGCCCATCCTGTGTGCCAGTCAATTCGGGTTTGCTTCTTCTCCGCCTTCTTTCCTCACCTTCCACCCCCAACATGAAGATCTTATTCTTTATAAAAATTATTCTATCTCTCTCCCTCACACAGGTGAATTCTCTCTTCTTAATCAATATCATCCGAATTCTAGTCACCAAACTCCGAGCCAGTAACACGGTGGAGACAGCACAGATGAGGTAACTTGACCCCAGCCATCGATTTTTTTTTTCTCCGGGCTCGACCCGCCACCTTCGCTCACCCCCCCCCCTTCATCCCGTTTGGCTCCCCTTTTATTTCCTTCCCGGGCTGTGGATCTCTTTGGTCTCAGCTCACCTCCCGCGCGTACTTTCCACGCCGAAGTCCCATATATTTCAAATCTCCCAGGAAATCTCAAAAAGACGATCTGATACTGCTCAGACGAGATCCGAACGGGTAGCCCCCTCCCACCTTAGACACAATCGAGCAGGAATAATGTTTGCACTGTCATAATTACCACTCATGATTGTATGTCAGCTTCGCATCTCCCTCTTAAACATTTCTCAGCCCTTAACTCATGCTCGGGAAGGTCGAATTCAGCCGGAATGGGGATTGTTTTAACAGAACACGGTCAAATATCAAAGGGAAACAGTACACGATGCATGCATGGCTCCAGGCTCAAAGAGTGTCACGTGCTCCAGTCCCCCCGTGTTTATTGCAAACTCGATCAGTCCCGTTCCATTGGCCAGGGGCGTTTTCGGATCCAGTGTCCTATACGCTTCCTTAAATTGACAAACTCATGAAAGTGTTGACTAAACTACAACAAGGAATTCCGTGCCTTCCGTTCTTCACAGCAACATGTTTCTCTACAGCCGGTTTCGAAAACTAATTTTTGAAATTTTGAAGTGAAGAGTTTACCCTTTTAAAACTCAAAAGCCTCGTCAAATTCGGCATCAAGTGATGCGATGATTAATTGAGGAGAGAATAAACGGGAAACATTTCAGACGCTTGGTGGCAGCAAACACAACGGCCCTTTCCACGCTTGGTGTCATTTTGAGCATGCGTGATAGAAAAGGCCGGTTATTTGCCACCACCAAAAGTCTCCCATCAAGAAAGGAATGAAAAAGACACTGTGAACGACGAGATAACCTGGTAATGGGAAGAGGTGTGCTATTTCTGAGCCACACGTTTTCTCACCAGCAGGTGAAAGGCAACACTTTCGGACGTATTATTATTTGGCTTGTTTCTAACTTTACGAAAATGTTGACTGCTCCTACAACTATACTACTGTCTCTTTCGTTTGGTTTTCATGGTGAAGGAAATCCATGAAAGCGGTGGTGGTGCTCTTCCCGTTGCTCGGCCTGACCTATTTGATATTCATCTGGGACGATGGAGGTGCCGTGTCGGGATCGATATACCACGTCGTGAACGCTGTGCTGCAATCTGGGCAGGTAAGGCTCGCGACAGTCAGGGGCGGATCCAGAACCGAAATAATTTTGGTGGGAGGGGCCAAAATTTTTATGGGGGAGGCAAGAAATTTTTAGTTGTTTTCACGTAACCCGTTATGGCTTTTATGGCCTCAAGTTGTGGCTTTTGGAAGGAAGGAAGGAAAATGAACTAAACCAAAGCATCGCCTCTCTCCCTCTCTTTATAAAAAAATTGACTTTTTCGGGGGGGGGGCACTGGCAATATTTCATACTCCCCGAGGACAAAACAGTGTCCTGTAGACTTCTCTTCTGTTAACAAACATTGACCGCCATTTCATATGGATGGCCAAAGTTTGCAGAAAATTCAGTATTGGCCTGCGCCTACTCCTGCCAAAAAAAATGTGCACTTTGCATGATCGGTTTTAAATTGGGAGACATTTCTATTTAGTAGTTAATACAGGTATTTAATATTTGCATAAGATTTGTAACACTTCTGGTTTTCATCAACGGCCATCCATAGTTTTGCCATCCAAGGTTGACAAAAACGGCGCTTGTAAAGTAGCAAAAGAAAGGTTTGTGCCTTTCATTCACAGTTAGCTTCTGCGGTAATTGTCCGGTAATGTCCTCAGAACCGTCTGCGTCACGATGTCTGTTTAACCCACGTAGCTCTCAAACCTACGAAATGAAGTGTTGTTCACGTCCCCCTTGTAAAACATCAACCACTCTTTCCTTTTGAAACTGCTTTCTGACAATTTGTTCCCTCAGGGGGTGTTCGTTGCGGTCATTTATTGCTTCATGAACGCTGAGGTGAGTTTCTACTTTTCTGTTGTAGTTTAATCAAATCTGTTGGGAAATTTCTGGTCGTAGAGTGTGTCTGCTACAGCTTCGTGGGCACTGACGTTGGGAACTGAATTTGACAAGCAATTATAGGTTTACCAGACCTTTCACTTAACCGACGTCGAGCTGGACTGAGAGAGGGCGCTATTTCCTTACCAACGGTGGCTCCTTTGGTACTAACTGCGCATCGCTGGTTCACGAACGATCAGGAAACGCAAGTGCTACTGTCGATACCAACAAAATGAATACTCACGACCAACGCGGCTCGTTTCAACTTATGAGGGGGTGCTTCTGCTCGACTGGGGAGGTGAATAGTGAAGAAGAAAGCTTCCCATTCAAAACCTGATCAGAACTGATAATTTTTGAGAAATTCTAAAGCTTGTCAGCCTTCTCGAAGGCTATCGTTGGTTTCTTGAGATTTGGCGAGCACTGTAGACGAAAAGTTTCCAAGACGTCATAGCCGGTGCGCATCTTATTGTGTTGAGTCAGCTCCGAGGGAAACGTCATGTGTACAAAATGTGCACCGACTTGGGTTGAGGGCTCCTCAAAATGGACAACCGTGCCCAAACGGGCTTCTAGAGCTACGGATACGTCTATTTGGAGCATTCTCCCATGCATTTGCAAGATGCGGATATCTCAAACTAGCTCCTGAGCAGTGGACCATGTAGGTTTTAGGCTCAGGCAGGCAAGATGGGATTGTTTTATCATCAGTGAAAGAATCCTCCCCCCGGAAAATGACAGCAACGTTTCGAGAAAAAAAACTTAGCGCTTTCGATTCCTAACAAATAAAGAATTCTTGGCAACATAATGGGGAAGGGATAATTTTCCCCGCTGTCCGCTGCTGGATAAGCCTAATTGCCACCGCTCTCGGCAGTCGGATGTAAACCTACCTCGAGTCGCGATGTAGAAACGGTCTAACGTCATAAGATTCTGCTGCGATGGCTCTCATTCCTTCTCATTCTGAAACGTTTTGTTTAATTTACTTGGGCTAAGCATCGCCATCCTTCATAAGCTGTTTTCATAATTGAAAATAATTGTTGCCTGTCTCCATTTTGATTTTTTCCCCTGACGCATCCCCCAAGGTTCGGATGGCCATCCAGCGGCGGATCGCGAAGAGCCGGTACAAATTCGGCAGCGCGAGTCGCCGGCGGACGCATACCAATGGGTCCTGTGTGATGGCCACCTCGTCCGAAGTCGTTCTGGCCGTGACCTTCCGCAAGAACGTGCAGGGCTCCACGTCCATCGACCAGTTATCGCAGGAGATGAAGCCCTTCACAGAGTGCGTGGAACGTTGACGGCGCCCCCACTCGGTCACCGGTATGAAGATAGTTCCACAGCAGAATTGCCGTGCTGGCTGTTAAGTGCGACTAAGCACCGTTGCTCTGACAGGTCCAAGTGTTTTTTTTAAGCATTTAGTAGATGTGATCTTTTGGAACTTTTGTTGTTTGAGGTCGAGGAGTCAAACTCTACTTTCAAAAATTGCCAAGCAGGTTTGAAGCGTGTGGCCCGATGGAACGTTTATTTGAATGAAAATATAAATGGACTCATATCGCCCATCTTAGTGAAAGGCGTTTAACTTAGTGTTACTGTGCCAAGTAGGCATGTTTGCTTGTGAGTCAGTCGTTTCATAGATTATCATGAATGAAACTACAAGCCGTCTTTTTTTCTACTGGTTTTGGTATGTAACACAAAAACAGCTCTTGCTCATGGCGCTATTTTATTTCAATAAAGCTTTCTACATTTGGATGGAATTTAACCGGAGAAAAAGGAAAATTTTACTTTCACTCAGTTTTACAAAGGAATCCACCTTCCGGGCTAAACTATCTTCAGCGAAAAAAAATGGCATTTTTGTGTATTTAAGTGACCATAAAGTCTTCTGTCGTTGTCTTGGTGAATCGCAGTTTCTGTATTGTTATTGAAAGTCGTGTCATTTATGAGAACAACAGTCGAAAATGTCAGTAGTTAACATGCCTCACGTTTGTAGTGATGACGGACTTGTTTATTTCAGTGAAGTACTTTTGCACCGATGTTTTTACATCATCTGTCAAAAAGTGTTGTAAATACACACAGTGCACCTATTTAACATCAAGACCTATATAAAAAAGTAAACAGCAAGTAAACAAGCACTACAGTTGTTCAATCTGTACATAACATTCTTTGGCAGAGAGTTCTATTGTGTAAATGAATTATGTAAATAATCTCTCTCTTTTATCAATCTGTTCCAGTGTTGTAAAGTTTCCATTATCTGAACTGGGCCACAGAGAGATTTAACGGGTACGTCCACGGGCTAGCTGGGTGTAGAGGTGTGAGGATGCGAAGCAAAAGGGAAGAAGGAGATATGCAGTTGAGAAATGATGGAGGGAATTGTGTGACTTGAAGCAGTTCTGTGTTTCAGGAAAGCGAGGTCATTTGGGAACAAAGCACGCGCGTGAATTCCGCGCTGATGGGACAGATCATGAGACCTCGCACTTGCGTTCATTTTGGGCGTGCGCCGTTGGAATATCGAACTGGCTCATTGTCAAAAAAGTGTCTGAAGAAAGAGAGGGAAGACTGGTGAGAAAGGGCTTGAGAAAGATCTGCCAACGAGTCAAACAAAATTCGCCCTTTCATGTAAAGTTTTACATTTTTCTTTTGTACTGGGAAGGGAGATTCTCTAGCACAAACTTTTAGATACCTGAGTTGCTAAAATTTGAAAGTGGGCGTGGCCCAGTGAAATTGTGGGACCTCTGAGCAATAGGAAGAGGAAGGTGATGTATTGGATGCGGTGTTGAGACTGATGGAAGGAAGTGACGAGAAGGGAACGATGCGGAGGAAAGCAGTTAAAGTTGCAGAGTTGAGTGTGACTAGAGTGAGAGGGCGGGCTCTTCGAGTTGTGAAAGGATGGATGGCTTTGCCAAGAAGTGCTGTGCATGTACTGCACGAGGTGCATTGGTTGTGAGTAAAACCAAAGGAGTCCGTGACAAGACCACTAGTGTTTGACGCACCGTAATTTAGACATGCATGGCGCTGTGATTCATAATACATGTGTAGTGAAAAATGATTGAAGCTCCGGCTTTCAAAGAAGATGAATAATGCATTTCAAGATATCTTATGCATGGATTTATGTTGAATGGACCAAAGCTGCTCTTGGGAAAGAATTTGCAGAGGGGTATTTTAATTCTGTCTTTAAAGATAAAATGTAATATAATATATGAAATAATTATAAACTAAGAATTGATTTTTGTTCACGCGTTGACTGTATTGTATAAATGCAGGTTATTTCATTTTACTTGTTTCTTACTTATTGAGGTCATTATGCGTGAAGACGGTTATTTCAGAATCCAACCTTTTTACCAATTAAGACAAACTATATTGATTTTAACGTTACATTTCGCTTTTTTTTTCGCTTCCAACACTTTGATCTTTCACTGGGCATATCGCAGAGATTACACACATTTTATGAGCATCTTTGAGACAGTTTAATGCCAAATCAAACTTTTTAATTACGTTATCCAATATCGTTGATTTATCACTAGCCCCAAATGCCAAATGGTTGTAGAACACACTTTAATGAAATGCCGACTTTGTTTGAGAACCGATCAACTATTGTCCTGTAAATACATGAACATGATGGCACGTTTCTAAGTAAAAGCTCCTCTGCCTTGAACAGTTCTTGGTTTTTGCGTGTTGCTTTGTTCTGCTCCATATTGTGGAGCCTTGTGATGAGCGAGCCTGATAGTATGAAAGCCTTGAGCAAATTGGACATTCGACAGCAGGTTCATTTGTTACCTTCTTAATGCCTATAGACCTTTCTCACCCACGTGACTAAATGTACACAATAACACCACGTGCAGACCGCCTTGGCCACGGTGATCGTATATATTGCTACGGGCAACTTCAACTACGCGCAAGCGCACGTGCGATCGCGTCATGCTTGACTAGTTTATCTTGAATAAGTAGATTACCATCACAACACAACGCACTCATTACCATCACAACACATCAGAGGTCCAGCACGATCGTGACGTCACTGGAAAAAGGTCTATAGGTTCACAAGTTACTGTGATGACGTGTATGGATGTCGACTTTGTGATTTGTCGACTTCTCTTCAGCTCCTTTTACTGTTTGACCGTTTCTCCATTCTTTTCTGCCAAAAAAATGGTCGCAGCGTCTCAGTTTGATGTCACGATGCAGATTTTGTGGCCGTTGGGAGAGGTTCTGTCGTTTCATTCTAGCGAGTCTGAAGTGATTGAGGAGAACCAGGAGAGACAATGCAATATACGGAATAGCACCCAACGCCTCCCCTACGCGCTGACTATACTTAGATTTTGGTTTGCATAAAGACAGAAACTAACACAAACTTATAAATATTATACATAATTATGCATTTTTAATTAATCCATGTAATGAGAAATTGTGTTGTCCACATGCACGTGCTAATGAAATAGTTAATACGACACGACCAGCACAACAGAGCTTTATGAATGTGGCCTCCCTCCTCTCAGGAACATTTCTCAGTTTTGGTCTCCAACTTACAAGATTTGGAAACTGTAGTCACGATAAAGACTTAACTTTTGCAAGACACAACACGCACACATTATACCCATCAAAATTCGCTGTCTAGAAATTAAACAGAACCAGCTTGAACCAAGCTTTAAAATATTCCAGAAATTAATAAGTTCCAGAGAAAATGATGGTGCTCCCATCCCAGTGCATTGTAAGCCCATTTTGCCAAAACCGAGGCACCCTGTGCACTTGGCACGCCTTAACAAAGAGTAGGTGTCAATAACCAAAGGTAGCATTTCTTCCACCAGTGCATCTCAGTGATCTTCCTTTAGCTATTACAAAAGACAAGGCGCATTGCCGTGAACGCAGGATTGCAGAGTAATTAGAAAATGATTTGAAAGGCATTATTCGAAACCTTGAAACTGAGTCGTTACAAGATTTACAAAACACTGTTAATGTGAAGCGACTAGTAATTTCAAAGCTCAAATCACTTCCACTTTTGTTTACATGAAGGATTGATTAATAAATGGCAATATTGTAAAAAGAAAATGTGTCATAAAAAGACTTCAGAGAATGTAATATCTTTCTATTCAACTGCTCAAGTTCAGGTATCATTTAAATACATTCGATTTGACAATAAATTCCTTTTCGATTATATATTGACACGTAAAGCGGATATTCACATTTCCGATGCATCAAGAAATTAGCAGCAAATGTTCATCTCTGTATCGGGCTCATTTCGACTATTTCTACCCGTCCAATTACCTCTAGTAACTGAAATATTGTCAATACTATTCCAAAAAACACCAAAAAATTAGCATATGCGTCCTAGTTTTAAGGACAACAAAGTTAAAGTCAATGAAACGATCTTTACACAAAATATAAAATGAAGGCATTTTATACAAATGTACATTGTCTAGTTCATAAATAACAAAATCAATTAAATTTCTACACACCTATTGTCGCCAATATCCAAAATGAGCGTTAAAATAAACCAATACTTGTCTATTTACTCATAACTAATACACATGCATCGCGAATTTTTTGTAATGGATTATGTAGTCAGAGAACGAGCCTAATTTTTAATAACACGGTCAAAGGTCACACAACCACCCTGAGCGCTGGTGACCGGCCCGCCTGAGCCATTTATATCGCAAAGTGAAAGAAAAGTTAATGCATTACAAAAGCGAGTCCACATTTTTAAGTTTTGTACTTAGAGCTGTTCACAACCACTGCGCCCCCTGGAAGCGCAGTGTGGAAACGATTTGGTTGAGTCTTGGACACAGTAACACAGCCTTCGAGGAAAAACGAGTTGGTTTCCTGCAGCTATAGAGGATGCATTGGGTAGGCGTACATTAGAACTTTGTTGTACGAACAACAGAGTTCAGCCTCTGCTTTGTTACAAACGTTAGCACCAGGCACTGGTATGCCGCAGATGTCCAAGATGTTTTACATTGTTGAAGCTTGAATGCTTGACATTCCTTTGGAACAGTACAAGCGCCCCAACTGCGACCCGTGTGAATGTCGGCTGTCTGGTAACTGCAAGCAGAGCTGGCTACAAGGAGATGCTATTGACACGACACTGGTCAGAGGAGTATTTGGTGCTGCTCTTGAGAGCTTGGTCCAGCCGTACGTTGCGACTGAACCCTGGTTCCTACTTCGTTGTCGAGTCGTGTGCCACACCAGGGCACATCGTGGATTGTCTTCAGTTTAGAGTACATTGTTGGGCAGCCTGCTTGACCAAAACGGGTGAGTCATTGCGTAGTTTTGTTTCAGTATTTGAAGTCAGGCGTACTCTGAAAACTTAAACGGTATTGAAGTTATGTTTCATTGGATAGAGTTCCTTATACTTGTCTGAAAAAATCTGTTTTCTCAGTAAACAACTTGGCATTTTCCCTCGTAAATTTAACATTTCTGGTCATGTTTTTGCTTTCTGATGGCTATTAAGTCACTGTAGGGAGGAATTACTGGCGTTCGTATATGGAACAGTTCCCGTTTCATTTAATGACTTTTGCTTCGGGCGCCATGTTGTTTCAATACAGTAAGTGTGCTGCCAGCTGAGCCATTTCGTCCGCGTGAATGAATAGCATACGAGCAGCACAATGCGGAAATCTTTCTTGAGTTCACCTTTCAGCTTTAGTTTGCGGAATAGATATAAGGTCATCTCCAAGAAACTAACAGCTTCAGCAGAGGTTTTACCTAATGTCATGTAGTTCCCTACAATCAGTGGAATTCTTCTCCCATGTACTGTCTAAAATTGCCAGTACAATATATTAAATATGAATTTGCTGAATACACTAAAAGCATTATTGTTTTTCAGTCAGGACTGAAATTATTATGCATTGTAGTAACATCAATAATGACGATAGTAATAAGGCAGTATATATTGTTCATTTGAAAATACTGTTTTCAACCTGCTACAGTGTGGCTGTAGAGTAGGAATTTACAGTTGACCTCTTTTCAAGGCCAGAATTAAACCTCGTCTGTACACGTGTCTTATAGTATGCACATCCACTGAGAAGTTACTTCACAAAAGTGAGTCTACTCTTAGTCAAGACTACATCGTGCTGTTTTGAGATCACCAGCTCCGACTGAACACCCGGGCAAGCATGGCTGCGATTGCAGTTGGTTTTCCTCTGAGAAAAAGCGGTGCTTGCTTCTTGTACTTCTTACGGTGATAGTTGTACAACAACTTGTGTGACATTCTGTCATGATTTCCTTGACAGCAATCGATGCAGCATAGTCCTCCTTTTTGTTTTTGTGTTTTTCTCTCATTCGCGTAGTTTGGAGAAGAACATTTACAGAACAGCATAGAAACGTCTTTATCGCACCACTTAAAAATATATACAGTTCCAAAACAAGCTGTCGATTTCTTTATACAGAACGTTTCCACATCCTGTGTTCTCTTGTCAGACCTCGGTCGTCTTTGACTCTTCGTCGTGGTTTTCGATCAAGATGCTCGGGCAGACATTTTGGCTTGTGTTGGCATTGCAGTCCCAACTGTGATTGGGCCCCAGCTCGGCGTACGCTGGCGGCGTCTGCGTCGGCGTCGGCGGCCTGGAGCTGGAGTCTAGCTCCTCTCTCTCCTTCGCGTCGTCCGTGTCCGTCGTTGTTCCCCGCCTGGAGCGCACCGTCTTGCCGTTGCCCAGGCTGTTCTGGGCAGGCGGGGGCGCTTTGTTCAGCAGCGGGCTGTTCTGCCCTTTGTCCACACTCCGTCTGTCGTTGGGGGCCATTGTCGACACCGTTTCCGTGATTGTCGTGTTCATGTTGCCATAGCGCCCACCGAATACACTCCCCCTGTGCCCCCAACGGTACGAATACCATTTGCGGCGGATTTGCATTTTTACCTGTGACGGACAAAAAAAACCTTTCACAAATTAAGACTATTGTAACCAGGAACAATAATTATTTCTAAAAAGAATATTTCTTCTAGAATTATCTCACTGGAATAATATCTTTGTAAGTTGTTCTAAACAGAGAATTTGAGTTCACCTCTCATTTGGACTATGTTTTCTGTTTGATTAGCAAGACTGCATTGTTTTATCGATATTTTGTCTCTTAAACTCTATCATTTCCATTTTTTATTTTTTTTCTCATATACTGTCTTCGATATAATGATCATGATATTTAATGTAAATAAAAATACACATGGATACTTGGTGCGTACAAGTGCCACAAGACGGTGATTTGGCTGTGCGGCCAAAGTCGAAATTTGTTTCACTGATCCAATGTTGCAAAAACTTTCGACATTTAGCGCTAGTGGCTTAGCGTTGAGGAAGTACTCACAGGACAGCATTAGATTCTCGCCGAGAAATACTTCATGCATTAGAGCGCATGTTTTTAAGACCTAGCTTGATATCAGGATTTTAATCAAGATGTATTAACAAAAAGGCAAACAGCTGTGCAACAACAGTGCTGTGTCTAGGGATTTCAATTGAAGACAATGTTAATATTATCGCATTGTGTTAAATCACGAGCTCTAATTTTTCCATATAAGCACTCCATGATTTTACAGATTGAAAACTCGAGAAATCATGAATGAAAAAAAAAAATCAAAATATCCTATTTTATCGAAGCTGTCTGTGATAAAACGGCCGCTGCCTATTTTCGGTCGCATTTGTTGTAATTTGATAGTGCGAAATACGCGCGCTTTTCGTGGTGTGGTGAAATTGCGTCTGAACATTAATTTTATCGCGCCGTTTGGGGGAGGGCGCCCTCATATGAAATCATAGTGCCAGTCGTTTGTTACCAGTGTTACTTTTGGCCAAAAATCTGTTGCAGAAAAAAAAGAGCATGGGAAAAAGTCAGAATGTTAAACACTCAGTTCGCATGCTTTATACTTGCCGGTCGGAGCAAAATGCTTCCAGTGCCAACTCTCGTCAGAGAACAGTTTGTAATAACTCATCGGCCCAGAATGAGGAACCGGGGAAAACAAGTGAATTATGCTGAACTGTGAACTTTCATACGAGCGGTAAGCCCTATTAACGTATGACCTCGACTCTTGAAAGTACTACATTTGGAAAGCTCAAACCAGTTGCCTCGATTTTGAAAGGATTCCCGTTCATTATTCACCTGTCGTATTATTTCAGCTTCTCTCTCAGACTGGTAAATAACCAGCTTTACCTGCTTATGTTGAAAGAACCAAAACTTGACTACCTTTTGAATGACAGCTCTCCCAGTTGAATGGTGCATGAATGCATGCAAAAGAAAATAAATTCGAGTGTTTTGCTTAAAGAGATTGCCATTTGAACGGAAAACAGTCAAGGTAAAGAACAAGTTTAAAATGTGCATTAGAAACACACAGCCGACATGCAAAAGGAACAAAAACCGGTCTCGTAAGCGGGGATGAAAAAAGGGAGAAAATTAAGTGAAACATTCCCACAGAAAAGTAGTTGAAACTGAAAAAGTGCAGTGAGTGACCAATCAGAAATTAGTGTGCTCAAGTGAATTGGCTGTTACACACACACAAAGAAATGCTGTGACGTCAAACGACTGACACCGACCACGTGACGAGCAGTTACCCAATCAGCGACTAACTTTGGTCTGACGCGGGCGGCCGGCTGTCGAGCATGAGGTTTGCCTCAGTGTTAAATTATTCAAGCGTCTACGAATCTTTGTCATTACCTCACCGTTGAAGAAGCAAAATATGCAGGCGACAAAGAAGCCCTGTAAAAAATAACAAAGAAATGGCTTCGTTTATTCTTCTAGGTCGCCATATTACTTGATTTGAAGGGGAAATTGTGTCCCAAACAGCAACAGCGTCGTATATTAACTGTTTGATCGGAATTAGAAAAATAACAAGTTTGCATTTTCCAAAGATATGTAATACAAAACTGCTTGCTGACTACAGTGACCTATAATAAAAAATCTCAAAATATGGAGGGCCCGACGTTTCGATCCTAGCAGAATCTTTCTCAAAGATCTATCAGATCTTACATCCTAACAGAATCCTTTCAGAGAAAGATTCTGCTAGGATCGAAACGTCAGGCCCTCCATATTTTAAAGTTTGCATTTTGAGAAAATTAAAGCAGCTTAAAATTTAGGCAGAGAAAAGTATCCTCATGGTGGCGCTGACGTTGTGGTCTTCGCACGTTTTTGAAGACATTAATTGGCGCATTGAAACTGGTTATCATAGTGTGTGCTCCTTACTGCCATTTTAAACGAGCAATGCTGATAATTGTGTACGAGTGCAGTAGTTCCTATACACAAATATAGTTTCCCTTCCTTTAATAATTTTTTTTTTCTCACGTGAGATAATTGCTACAAAATACCAGCTCTTGTTGGCTTGCGTCTCTTTCAAAACAGAGGCATGGTCCAACGCCCGCAAAAAGGCGTCCCGTTTGTGCGTTTACCTGAAGAGACAACAGTATTGCCATGAAGTAGTCGTAGAAGTCTATGGCCGTGGGGTTGCCGCCTGGCCTTACGGGAAGAATGATGTAATGCAAGCCAAGGAGTGGAAGAAGGATCAGTGTTGCTCGAACCGCTCGCCTGCAGACCAAAAAAGAATCTCACGAAATGACTTAAAAATGCCGGACAATAATTGTTTCAAACAGTTTATCAGCTCGTGGGTGATCGTTGAGCGGTACTCACGTGTAATTCCTGCCGGAGCCAGAAGTGGGTGTAGCTCGTAACTTGGTGACTAATACTCGCACAATGTTCAGGAGTAAACACAGGTTTATCTGGGGGGATGACGAGAAATGAAACCCTTATGACAAACCCAGGGTATGTATTCGCTGTCATTTTGTTATGACGACGGGTCCCTCGTCTCCTACTGACTATGACCAATCAAGGCGGATGGAGGGGGGAGGCAACGGGTGCCACCCACCCACCCCTCTCAAAAAAATAGGGCCACATTGAATTTTTAATCTGTTTTGTGTCTTTTTTTTCCAAACCATGTGTAAAAACATCAAAATGTAGCTTCACCCTTCGAAAAGACCCAAAGTTTCATGAAAAAAATCCCGAGTTGGGGTTTCCCCCAAACAAGTTTGGTGCCTGAAAATTTAGCTCTGGGTCAGTCCTTATAACCAAGGAAAGATTTTTTCGAAAGAAAATTGCTAAGCAGGTACCTTCTTGACCATCAGTGGCGCAAATCTGTGCCAGAAATTGGGGGGGCGGGGAAATGGGACAGTGAAAAGTGGGGGATGACTTGCCCAGCCAAGTTTGGATTTGGAAAGGGGGGGGGTGACACCATATGACTCTGTACAGAGGTCGATGTTCGTGACATCGATGTACATCCGTAATATGTATTCAGAAGGGCATATTTAAGGGGCTTTTTAAATTGTTTGCCCTTTTTTTGAGGATATTGCATTTTCGGCGATGGAATTCTGAAAAATTCTTCACAAACCGCTTGAATTTTTTGCTCACCACAAAAAGTGTGCGTGTGTGTGTGTGGGGGGGGTTGTGATTCAATAGTCCATCCCCCAAATCAGTCGGAGGGATATATATATACCCCTGTCCCCCGGGTTTTACGCCCATGATGACCATACAAGTAAAACTGACTTGAACTATATTATGAGAAAAAAGGAATTTGGTGTACTTACAATGAGAACAAGAATAATAGCACCGCCGACACACCACTGGAATGGGCTATCTGTAAGCCAGCAACTATGGAATATAAACAGAGTGGGCAATGACTGACCTTTGGATTTTATTGAAGTCTTTCTAAAGACTTGAAATTCGGAAATACAAATGCGTTTAATATGGCGTCAGTAGAAATACAAAGTATCCTCCAGTGAAAACACGTTCGATTCAGTTTGCGCATCGAACATAGTTTGTTCAAGCGCCCCCAATCGGTGGAAAGGTACATAGGCCTGCACCGATCAGAGAACTTCCATACTGATGCGGCAATCATTTTGAAACAAATGTGACTGGCGAGATGGGAGTGTTGACTGCCTTTGTGTGTACTCACTTGCTCTTGTTGAAAAGTAGCATCAATAACGTGAAGATGAAGACAGGAATCGCTGGAAGGCCTGCAAGGATGCACCAAAATATTGCAGTTCTTATCAGCACAAAACCACAAATCGAAAAAAGTGAGGTTTAAGAATATTTTGTTTTAACGGATTGACAAAACAATTTGATCACTGTTGATCGAATTGAACCATTTTACCGTATCATCACTGTTGTAAATTAATACTTATTAATTATTTTGTTTGAACCATGATCAGTAGTTCCGAGCGCGCCTTCGGTTCAAACTATATCTGTGAGTACTACAATGCTCCTCCTATACCTGAGCAACTCCCAAGACTGTTTCTAAACATGTACGTGAAAACGTTACTGAACCCTCAACACTGAACCCTCAACACTAAGCACTTCAATATGCCTGCATTGTAAAAAAAAAAAAAGGGAACAAATTCTAAGTCACAGTTGTCAAACATATCTTGGCCAAGGTTAGAGCTGGTCAACATCGATGAATACGTACCCCAGCCTATGATGTAGTACCAGATAAGGCGGTGGTTTTCGGAGAAGACCGCCACCACAATCACCGTGTGTAGGTAGAGCCCCTCGCTCAGCATCCAGAAATAGTTGCAGGTGTTGAAATACTGACCCAACACCAGCAGGGCTTTACAGAAAAACTGAGTACAGAGGCACAGGAATAAACGAGTCACGGCTCATTTTGAGATTTGCATGACACTTGCTGCAATCTAAATTCTGTGTTTCGAACTTGGAGCATGCGCCCAGTAGTGCAACACAATATCTAGTTTTAAACTTCGGGCCCAGTTTCCACTTACTTCTCGCACTGTCTTTCGTGGAATCAAAAGAAACAACCATAATGAGCCTCGAGCTGAACCAAGAGAGGGCGCAATTTTCTCAGCAACGGAGGCTCCTTTAATCGGAAATTAACTTCGCTGGTTCGCGAGCAACTGGGTAATGCACGCATTACAGTCACTTCGTTACCAACAGATTGAACACTCGTAGCCAATCTGGCTCTTTCAAACTGATGAGGGGGTGCGTCTGCTCGAGGCGGATTGCACAGTTTGAGAAAATATTGATGGGAAGAATAGTCAGAGTCAGACCCACTGACTGTCAGAATTGCCCGAAACCTTGCTCGGTGATTTCTCAGAGATTTTTGCATGAAACTTACAGGATCTTCCACGATGAGACCTGGGTTCTGCGTGACCGCAGCGAACCACTGAATCCAAACGATCCCGCAGAGGATGAAAGAGATGAAGAGATTTTTGTGGATAGTCACTCGGGGGCAGGCAAGACTCCTGGGGGGAGACACATTGAAAGCCAAGCAGTTACACAAGGGAAGGAACTTAAATCAAAATTTGAAGGCCGCAAATTAAAAGGAAAAAAATACAGAAATACTGCTGTATTGAATCGTAACCGTACGGTGTCAGTTTATTGAGGGGTGTGAGAAACATGTAGAGGTAGATTATGAGCGAGCCTTGAGTCTCCAAACACTTGGTTACCCTTTCTGTCCGGGAAATATTCCGTTCGGTAAACAGCTTGTAAACTTGCCCTTAGTTAACCCTTGGTTTCCTTCTCCCATTGCCAGCTCTATAGCTCCATAAGTGCGTACATATTAAGAGGTTGAAGATTCCATCAATCAAATGCACTCTCTCTTATTAAACGAGTTTGCACAGTAACTTCTGGACATTACTTTTTACGCATGCGTCGTAATGACACTTGACAGTCATTCCGGAATAAAAACATGCATAAATTTCTACTAAAAACGCACCAAATAAACACTCGTCATTATGAATCGTGTAAGCGTTAAACGCGGAGGTGACCCTTGACTGTAATTCATCGTACATTTAATACCTCCTCCAACCATTCCTGTTATATTGGCATGATTATAGCATCTACGTCGCTTGTAACAGCATCCTAAGGTATACCCGTTTGTTTATTCGCATGATTATTTTAGCTATACGGACGTGGGCTGTGGGAGTGTGTTGGTCGATCTTCCGAATGGGCGATCTGGTCGCAGGTGCGCTTTTCCAATTATCATTCACGCCTGTAATCATATCTTCTCCTGGTCATAATTGAAAGCAAAGTCGGTGTTGGAAGGGAACGACCTTTAGTATTTTTGAGCCTAATGATCACTGTAGTCGATGCTAGATGCTTCCCCCGCCGTCGCAAGTACATAAAGCTAACGGGTGTGGTCCGCGCAGTTTAGTAACCCCCCAAAATTTCTTAACCCCATATCATTACAAATGTATTTGTTTTTTCCACTGTATTTGTCGACGTTTGGCAGGATCCCTGTTGTGTTGGTTCGGATGCAGTGGGCTTAAAGTGACGTATTTCTGGTGGTGTTTATGAAATTTGGTCGTTGATAAACAAACACGTTTCTGAATGTATTTCCGAAATTTGATTTGGGTTTTTTTTTTCGTTTTTTAATTTGTTTTTTAATGTGCAGGGATTACCCCCGTGCCTCAAAAAGATATCTGGACCTTTTTCCCCTTGGTGACTGTTCTACCTCCACCACCCCCCCGTCACTTTCAATGAATCCCCCATCACGCCTTAGTGGCAGATTTCTAGACAAGATCACACCCAACGGCTCCCAGCGACCATTAATCAGTTCACGCCTGTGTAGGTTAGAATGTGTCATAAAACTGTTTTAGTTGCCATGGAGTAATTATGTTGGCGTGAATGCGCAGCAAGTAATATAAAACAGCGACTACTGGACAATTTTGTAAATATGTTTGACTTGAACCCACAAATTTCGTTTCTCTTGGTTTCTTGATATTGACTAGACATTAAAAGACAAACAATCAACAGACGGATAACTGTGGCAAATTTTGTTGACAATTGAAAATACCATACGTTCATGAAGTGCAATTGTTCTTATTCAGAGCCATCTGATATCGATGTGGCAAGGAGTAAGATTGTTCAATCAAGCACTTTTTTCTTCGTTGAGGTCCTCAAAAATCGATACTTAATGGTACTTCGTTTGTTACTAATCGATACCTGAAGTAGAAGAAGATGAAGAGTGCCACGCAGAGAGAAAGGACAGACAAGCCGTAGCCTAGGTAGTAGACAATGTAGGCGTAATTATGCTGTGGAAACACAGATTGAAAAGTTGGCGATAAATTATGAGACATAACCTCAACGAGGGTTAAGAAGGCAACATAACGAAAGGCACCTGTGTTATAATTCCAACATAAGAACTAGACTATTTTGAATCGCCTTTAAATATCACACTGCGCTCCCTTCGTAATCGTAGGAGAGAGGTTGCTATTTAAATGGCTCCCCTGTCTGTCACAATGTTTTTCCGGAAACATCTACTCGCAAAAGAAACTCAGTTTTAGATGACCTCTTAATTAAGCTGTGACCTTGTTGCCTCGACATGGAATCAACCTCAGACTTTGTATTGCTGAGAGTAACCACTTTTGCTTGAGTAACATCTGTACGCGTGTCCCTGTGTCGACTTGGAATCTTTCTCTGCTGGGGCAACTCATGAAATAAGCCTTTTACGAGTACAAGTTTGAATAAAATCTGGTACACTGCGTTCTTTAGATTCACCTGAACGTAAAAAATTGAATTCTCAAAAAAAAAAAGGCTTGTGCTCCATATACCTCGTGATTCGGGGCACACTTTTGCTTATAGTTACATAAGAGACGCCTTGCAGCAATATAACGTTTTCAATGGAAGAGGGCAGAAAGGAACCTGTCCATTCCAGAGAAGATGGTTGCTATGCAAAGGTTTGCCCCGAATCACGAGGTGTAGCAACAGCGTCTTTCGTCTGGGGAATTCAAATGGTTACGTTTATGAGCAATCGGTTAACAGCGTACCAGATTTTATTCAAATTTCACTTGCAAAAGGCTTATTCCATGGCCAATAAAGACCGTTAAAAAAAGTTGGTCAATTTATCGTTCATACCGAATCCTCCTTTTCGCGGCACTGCGTGTAATTTGTCCACGTTTCGTTGGTGTCAGGATGCCGAAACCACTCCCCGTCAGGCATACACGTCTTGCTAGCCATGTCTGGAGAAAAGAAGAGCAATCAACACCGTAAAATAACATATATGATAAAAGACAGAAATCGACAGATAAGTGGTAGACGATTGGACACTTGCACGTGGGCGGGGACAGACATTATGGGAGGTGGAGAATGACTCCCTGCTAAGGGATGGATTAACCAGACTCTTATCAGACCAATGTTTCATCGGTGACTCTCATTATTACCACTAAAATTAAGAAATATCCAACAAGTGACATACAAATATAAGTTAGTCTATTAAACCTCATTCATTTTAATGAATTATTTTACAGGTAAACTTAACACGCGACACCGCAAAGACCACATTTCGAGAGAAATTAATGGGTCAATTTTCAGTACCCACGTTGCTTTCGATCTGAATCTGGGTTTTTGTCATTTCTTTGTCACTTAAGTTTGCCATGTTATATCCCACATTTGTGTCTTTTGCGAGAGCGATGCAAGCAGAGTCGTATCGTCAGCGTGCGTCTTGTATAGCTCACCATAAAACGGATATCTTAAGTCGGTTCTTTCAGTGACCTTTCAAGTCATTAAAAGTCAGTTCAAGTTTCTACATGAACTTGATCATATCTTGGTCTCGACTTACTTGATGGGTCGGATTCGGGTATCCATTCCGGGCACGGCTGGACTATCGTCTCGGATGCCCGGGTGTAGTTCCAACAATCCCAGGAGTCAAAGGTCATATTGCAGTATGTGTAACCTGTGGGACGAAAATCGAATACTGGTCATCTAGACTTTGCACCTGCCGTGCATATGAATGCGTAAGTGATCTTTCGACAGGCCCTGGGTACAAAAGCTGCTTGATGTTCAATAACTTCCCTACAACCATAATACGCATAAGGTTATATGCGTATCTTCCATTGGTGGTGAATGGGCGCACGGTTGGGATATGAAAATAGCGCGTTATATCGGTAAGAGCGTTGTATCAGGGAGCGCTATAACGGGAATGTACTGTATCAGACTTCCCTACGTGTTACGTGCACAAAGTCTTGGTATAAGGGTATGAGCAAATTTAACTGTGACTTTTAGCGTCGATGCAATCATGTTTGAAACGAAAGGGCACTAAAATGCCATGTCTTTTACTGTTCTGAACACCTTTCAGGTCACACACCTACAAATGCCACGGCTATTTGTAAAGTTCAAAGAGCCGTATTTAGTCAGTGCCGAGAGAGACGAACAGAATGATGCAAATGCCACAGGGCTCCCCTTGAAATTGTGGGATATTTTCTCCAACCTCGGTTTCGTCTTCGGCTCCAGGATTTCAATAGTTTCACGAATTTAGCCCTCCTGACCCTCGGGTTAAATGCAGCTCCATATTATTTTGAGGCAGCTGGGACTCGCAACGGTCTACGTCACGGGGCCAAGACTTTGTTATACACGGGATTTTTTTCCATGAGGTTCCGGTAGCACACGTTTGAAATTAAGGACCATTGTCCACGGAGCCTGAGACGCAGCCGAAAACCAGAGATGGAATCTGGATCATGCCTGTGATGGATGTTTTTCACATTGGCACGCCCATACCGTCATCGGGCGGCTGTTCCACACTCAACCGCTGCCTACACTTCTCGTACACCATGTAATGCATCGCCCTCTGCTCTGGTGTCTGGTCCTCGAATATCCCATTAGCTTCCTCTTCCTCGTCGCCACGGACCGAGGCTACCTGCATCAATCAAACAATCAACCAATCAGTCAGTCGGTCGGTCAATCGAGCGGTCGATCAATTAATCTATCATTCCAACCCACATTGATTCTTGATAAATTGGCTATTCACAGCATGTTTAATCTGACTCCCTGAAAATTGGCCTTATTCTTATTTGTGAGCTTGTCAGCGTGAGCGAAGTTCAGAGTTTACTTAACCCAGGGGCAAGAGAAGAAACCAGTGTCATTGAAATACAGCAACTAATCGATAGCTGTCATGAGACTAAACATCATCAAATTGGCAGTTTGAAAAGGTGTGTTTTTATATGTTGACGAATGTGAATCGATGATTTTGAAGGAGGCCTACACGTTCGGTGTAGGTGCATAGATGTGTCGTTGACAGGAAGTTGCTGGTTATTTGTTCGAAAATATTAAAAATTCAAACTAGTACAAATGGTTTTCGCTCAAGTAATGACCAGACATGCATAATTGTTGCGAAATATAGGAAGCCTCCTCCAACCCTATGGAATTCCAATCGACTTTTTGTAGCCCTTGTACAAATTTCCTGGGAAAGTTGCCGGCAACTTCAACACTGTGAAAACATTCGTGACTCACATATCTTCCCACGCTGCTGGGACCCATAAAAAACATTCACACGCCCGCGATCAAGCTTAGGCGATGTTCCCAATAATAACAGGGTAAGCAAGGAATGCATATCACCATTCGGTCAACAAGGTCCCCGTGTAGTTCAGATCAATGCGCGGCCACGATTTGCAATCGACGCGCGCGGCGCGAGCGACGGGACACGCCGGTCCCTGGTCGTTAGAAGGAAGTTACATTCGTGACTCCGCGCGCTGTTTGGGGAGGGGGATTCCGTGCAGCCGCAGAAGGACCAACGTTCGCTCCCCTCCTCATATTCCGGGCAGAGATTCCTCTCCAAGAATTCCGGACACAATATCCCTTCCGGATTTAAAGACCAGATAGCGCTTGTTTCGATCGACAAGGGAGAGTTTTTCAACAAAAACGCTCGTGAGAATTCTCGGTAAGGCGAAATGGTTAGTATCACAGAAATCCTTCATCCGCGCAAAATATGGCTACGTGACCTGATTCTGAATTGGTGGGGAAAAAAAGGTGACAAACACCCTCTGCGGAACTGGAACAAAGCGACGTAGAATTATCGAGAACTCTTATTAAAGTTTCTGAACATGTCCCAAAGACTTAATCTTAGGTTTGAGGCAAGAGAGCTTATTCGTGTCCATTTAGATGTGCATGCAGTACTAGGCCTAACTCCAACACTGCAGAAAAAAGATTGTGGTTGTTAAATTCAGTTAAGCTTTGCCCCGTTCATATACACGTTAAAATTTAAAACACGAAGCAAAGCCTTCTACGTGTGTACTTCGTGGAACTTTTTTCTCCGGCATATATATTGTTTGTGAACATCTCACAATTTCAGATATGAACTCTTGAATTAATTTCCATACACTTACCAGAAAGGCCGACCTATATTTTAATCTAGCTTGGGAAAGAGATAAATATAAAAAAATAGCCTGCGGCCGTTTCATGCGCGCATTTTACAAATTATGTGTACGACTGATTGAAAACTTCACGAAGACACGGGACGTTTCTGCAGGCACTGTCATGAGTGGCAATCAATTTCCGCATACGCAGCAATCCCTCACGTACGGCCCGATCTCGAGACTTAAACTCACAGGCCATGGCGACGTAAATATTTTCTTAATGTACCAATTGGCCGTCGGCCATTGCTGGAAAAAATACTCATTTATTATGATGGTGTCCTCTACTAAAAGGTCTCTCTTTTAACACAGACGGAGGTTTTGCTCCAGGAACGTGACGATGTGCAGTGGTCAACCCCGTAGTAGGTAGGAAAGTGGCGCAGGGGCTTTCCTTTCAAGGGGAAACCGTTGAGTGTCGAGTGTGGAGCATAGACGTGCTAATTTTTCTCTGCACTTATTAAGGGAAATTTTGAGTAACTGATATTTGGCTCGGCAGTGAATCAGAGAATTTCTGATTCTGGGCAAAGTGAGTTGTCATGAACACTCGCTCTTACATGTTTTTCTCCTGCAATTCCAAGAATGTAGCGGAAACAATTTGAAATGTACTTCCGGATCGTCGTTTTAAAACGCGAAGTCTGGTCATTGCAGATGACGTCGAAAACGATCTTGTTGCCGAAAACATCTTGGCACTTACCTGCAGTAGAAGAAAGCAGAGGAAAACCAGACAAGTGCGTTGGGACATAGTTCCTCTCGACTGTCTCACGTGGGACCTGCACAGTTGAATAAAAATTGACAATTAAATGTCAAACTTACCTCAGCATGCCACAAACTGAACTTAAAACCTCCTGGCGGGTGGGAAATCTAGTTGGAATTTGTAGGCTTTGCGGTAAAAAAAGGTGTACATGATCATGTATTCGATCTTTTCAATCTTGTGCTCCCTTTGCGATAGGAAACGTAAAGAAAACGTGACTCTAATTTGAAAAAAAGATGTGTGTGGCGTAGATTTTGGAGAGCTGCGGGCGGATGTTTTCAACACAGGCTGTTTTCAACACCGGTCGTAATACACTCTCTTGGACCTTCTTGAGCTCGCGTCACGTCAGGAGGCCACTCAATAATGAAGAGTGTTCTCATAAACTCCTTACTCAGCGAGCGAGGCGATGACCGGCATCTGAATTGAAACCTGCGAACATGATATTCGCGTGTTGCCGGAGGTGTACTCTATCCTGTGCTACTATGCGCGCATTTTGTCGGTAAGGCTCGCTCGCCGAAGTGGTAAAAAATGAAGTGGGCGCGTCTTGATGGTTCGTTTTTTTTTTTGTTCTCGCTTCCATGGGAAAGATTCCATCCCTGATGGTGTATGGCCAGCCGACCCTAATGGGATACAAAATCAATTATATACAGATGTCGCTGGCATGTATTGGTGGCATCCTCGTCGGTGGCAAAACACACCGATGATGAATGAAGAAGCTCAATTGCGCAAAGTGCGAGAGCTGTGGCGTCACGTGTGACCTTCCTGCGTGATTTATGGTGGAAGTCTGCGAAAGTCAAAGCCCGTCGTCAAGTGGCTTTGAACTGGAGATAATCGTCACTGGCGTCCTGTTGTCGAAATTAGATCCACGTAGAACTCGAGATTTACTTACATTGGTCCCGTCTTGGACCACTCAAACCACCAAGAGAGACAGCCGAACTTCTACCTGACGTCCAATAATTTCAGAGACCCCTGTGACATTGGGCTAAATAGATGCACGTTTTGTGAAAACTCGCATCCACATCGCAAAACGGAGTTCACGCACAGGCTGAACTTGAAATCCACCACTCAACAGTCATTACACCACAACTCTACGCCGTGTAGGCCTATACAACCCCAGTTGCAAAAACTTCAAACCAAAGTTTCAACGGTCGGTGCGCAGACTGAGTCAGGTCAAAGATCGGAGTCTAGTTCCTGCCCTCCCTCCAGTTTACTGGATCGTCAGCAAGATAGTATCAATAAAACGTGACCATGCATATTCGACTCGCACCCCCCCCGCCTCGCGGCTTTGTTTTGAGTCCGGCTGCTGCGAGCGCACTGTTTGCATGCACTTTGGATCGTTGACCGAAGTATTTTTTCATTACCGGTATACCTTGGTATATCATTAAAGCTGCACTCCTTCAGGTACAAGAACCGTTCAAATAACAACTTTATTTATCTTAGCTCCAATGTCAAGTATTTTTCTCGTATAATTTTGTGCACACTGTGACTGACGAACTCATAATAAAGCGAAAATGAATTCCAAAATTCCAAAACGTCTGTATATATCGAGGAAAATCACAAATTTACAGTTATTGGCATGAAAGTGAACTTAACATGTTCAAATCACTAACATTGAAGATCAAATTTAGTGAACAGGCGAATAATAGCGATTCAAGAACGGTTTGCATATCTCACCTCAGAGAGCAAACAGCGTGCAAATTTAATACCATTTGTAAACATTCCATCGAGCATGAAAAGGTCTGTGTACGTGAACTTACGACAGTTCTCTCCGTGGACCAAGGTCCACGTGATCACCTCATTGAGAATCGCGGCCATTTGTTTTCTAGCCTCCATTGTCATGAAATTTGATTTTTGACACATGGTGAAATAATCACTCTACCAGATAGCAGAGGGAACCCAATAGCATATATTTGTCTACACTCGCCAGACAGCGAATAGAAGCGCTGTACTGAGCTTGAAGGTTGACCGAACGTGAGTCTTCCCGAGAACATCGGTTGGGTTTATGTTTTCCCATGCTCTTGTTCATGCCTGGCCTTAAAAATGACCTTAAAGTGCCATAAAATAATTGAGTTTGAGGCAGTATCGTCTGATTGACAATCCTATCACAAAATTCATGTGAAGTGGTATTTGTGGAAGAGTCAAAGGAGGGGACGAAATGAAATAAAGCCCTTCTGGCGTCTTACGCGGCGAATAGACCCACATCCGATTCACCATTCACTAATTTGATAGTATCTTCTCACCGGTGACTTTTGAACGGTTTCATTATTTCCGTGGGCCACAAATTTCAATCTTTAGTGGCCGTAAGTGTATTTAAATGGAGGTATGCGAGAAAACATTCAACCTTAATGTTCCTCGTGGACTGACAATATTCCGGGTGGATCTCCAGATGGATGAGTTTCCAAAGCAGCCTATGGCCTCTAAATGTTTACTGGAATAATTTCAATTTGTCCTGAGGACAATAATGAATTATTGATATTATTTGCCAATGTTTTTGTCGGATCTCTTACAGTTGTCGATATTTACGAGCGTTACCCCCATAACCCAACCAATCGGGCGATTCACAGTAGTGCGCCTCCATGAGTTTACGACACGTTGACCAATCGCAGCGCGTGAAATCAGTCGACTCAATGCGTGTTTGGAAGGGGTCGACAGATTTCGCGCGTAGTGATTGGCCAACGCGTTGCAAGCTCTTGAAGGCGCACTTTTTGATTTGCCCGTATCGCAGCCCTTATAACGTACATTTTTCAAACACTTGGTGGCAGCAGATCCCTTCAACGCAACGCATTTTAATGATGATTCAAATAAACATTTGTGGTTAAACCGATGAGTGGTAACGTGTTTGAAGTTTTATATATTTGAGCGATCTCAATCCTTTGAACTTGGTTCGATTTTGACTAAATCTTTCATTTTTAACTTTCAGAACTATTTTACTCATCCCAGAGAGTAATGTTAGCATACTCTGATGAGGTTCAACGTTTTTAATTTCTTAAAATACTTCTTATCCACCGTGTAAAACGTCTTCAAAGCAGTTTGAATAGGAATGTGACCAATTCTATCAATTTGATTAATTCAGATGGAAGTTCCATTAACTATCACTTGACAAGATTGGAAAATTAATTCAAAAGCTTGGATTTCACAAGAGACACCTTTCGTACTCACAGGAATAACAGAATTAATTGAAGGTCACGTGGTTATGCCCATTAATTCCGCAGGGTGCGTGCAGCGAATATCCGACAGAATGAAAATTAGAAATCGGCCTGGAGGCGAGTTGGGTTGTCAGTTGAAGTATCGTTACAAAGGAGGGATCATTTTGAAACACCGTAATACTGCCAGTGCTAGGAGCATGGGTACGGTATACGTCCCTTGTGGACTTGCGATTCCTAATATGAATAGACGGATCACGTAACGGCCTTTCCCGCGAGACTAGCCGGTATGTTGACGGGCAGCAGAGCTTGAAACCTGATGGGACATTATTTGGGGGAAAACTACTGGGGGGGGCGAGACAGAGAAATCAGGCGGCTTGAGCGTGGGTTTTCCCGAATAGCAGTAACTGATGTAAGGATAGTATGAGGCAGTGCTATCTGAAGGGATTCGCAGAGGTAATTCCTTTGAAATAGGTTTATTTGTTGAGAGAGATCAAACTAGACGAATACAAATCCAGCTGATACGCGAAGTTCGATCGTTTAATTTGTTGAAAGCTGCCGTGGTGAAGTCTACGTACATTGAGTTCACATAAGGGAATAGGTTCGAGAAACAAAGTAGAAATGCGTCACCAGCTTTCTCATTCAAACGAATATTCTGGCAAAATTTGTTTATATAGTTTTTAAGAGACACTGTTTATGCCAGATGAGAGTCACTATGAATTAAGGACGCGAAAAAAAGCTTGTGCAGAGTTTTTGTCGTACTCTTTATAAACCTAATATTGCTCCTAAACCAAGCGTGAAAAAGTGTTCTTGGCATCAAGAGAATTCCAAGGCTACGTCTCGTTCACTTGACATATCTACTGAAAATCCAGCGAAATAACACAACTTTCTCATTTCGCGATTGGCATAAACCAAATTACTGTCGGCCAAAAAATTTCCAATGAATAAACAGTGACCAGCTCTTCATCATCAGTCACCCGAGACATACGTGACATTGCCTGGACAAGTTCACGTCGTTAATAAAACAGTGATAGCTACTGCAATATTTAAGCTCGATGTGTCAGGGTGGTTATTCGCGGTGGCCAGGATGTGTTCACAGAGAGGAACGTGCCGCTGCCCGTTTTCTGAAAAATATTCCTGCTGATGCAGTTTCTCACTCGTATATGCTATTTTTTACTTCACCATTTCATTTTTTCCCCTTGCTCATCGAGTTGCATACCGCCTTGCTGTTGCCAGCGTTGTATGTCTGTGACATTCATCTCCGCTGTGCTGTTTCGAGGATGTCCTAGTCGTAAGGTCGAACGTGCCTCACTTTCTTCATCTCAGCAACCGCGAAAAGCCGACAAAAAAACCTATGCAACCGTGCGGGAAAATCTAATTGAGGGAACAGGTGGGAGATTACCGGTAGTGGCCAAATGGAAAATAGGCGCAAAAATGGGCAGAAATGGGAATTATATATGCACATTATGTCGTCTGCCTGAGGCGCTGTAGATACGGATAGTCACTGAGCACGAGGAAGCTCGTGTGGCTGGGCTATGAGGAAAGTCGCCGTGCGTGTTTTGTGGCATTTTCATAGGCGAATTACTCAAGGCGGTCATTCGTTCGAACAGTTGACGGTTGCTAAACCGCTCAACACATTATTGTCCCTGCAAGGCCCCCCCCCAAAAAAAATCGCCAGAGATTGTTGATTCATGCGAGATTATCGATTTCTATCTGGCATTTCTCGGGAAGTCCTTGCTTGGAAATGAGAGCAGGGAAAGGTAAAAACCCGCCTGGGAATGACTGCGCAAGATAGAATATTCATGCATGAAGATAGCGCGAGAATTGGGCGACGTCACAGGTTGGGGACTCTTTAAGGGTGAGTCAGGTTGGGTACTAATCCACGCATTTGCTCTTCCTATGCTCGAAATTTCTGGCTCCACTACTGTTGAATCACCATAACGTTAATCATCGCCATTAATTTCCACCACAGACTGTATAATTTCAATTTAAATTGAGAAATAGTTCTCCATTTTCACAAGGCAAACTGCTTTGCTTCAGTGGACGAACTTAATATCTAGTCTCACTACAGTATTTCGTTCATATATACATAATTGAGTGGAGTTTTCCTTTCGTGCGTTTTGAAATAGAATTTTTAGCTTAAACACAGAGATGTTCAAAAGCAATAATGTACACGAAAATCACCTACGCAGTTGACGAAGTCTGTGTCCCATTTTAAGTTAGCCTTAATGATTGGAGTTACCCACATCGCGAAGAGTAAAGTTTTATCTTCCAAAGACATTACGTGCTAACGCCGATTATCTACCCACTTCCAGGAAACTCATGACTCAAAACATGAAAAGCCTTAAAGTGTAGAAAAACCTTCAGAAAAACAGCCTTAAGCGCAACGGCAACAACCCTTGTCACCATGAAGGTCAAGGTCTTTGTGGATACTCCGAAGTACGATATTACGACTATCCATCAAGCGCAGTCAATCTCAGGTATTGACCAAGATTTTCTTCAGAGTTTTGGTCAAAGACGTCCAATCGTTCAAGATGCCAGACGCGCCTCAGGACATCACGCGGGCAGTAAATGAACCATGCATCCGCATTGAGTATGTGCTCGGGTTTATGCAAATGGTTCTTGGTTTCTCGCTTGATATTCAGGTGAATCAATTATTTAGTGCCCCAAATCGGCTGACATTTTGAAGTGGTACTTTTGAATGCCACAGTGTGGAGTAAGTCAATATACAGCGGCGAGATTTGCTTTCATATTGTGTAAAAATGACAATCACTACATTTTCCAACATTTCCAAAACCGATGGACAGCTTCCTTAGTATTGTTTGTTTGTTTTATTGTTGTTTTTTTTTTCAGGTATCAGTTTTCAGCGGTTGTAATAACAGTGGCGATAATTCAAGTGTTTAGTTATTTTGTTAAGTTGCGGAATTTTTAGAATTTAGATTGACTAGTTTAACGACACGGTTCCCAGGTTATATTCTTCATCAAATAGGGGAACAAAGCTCGCCCGAGACGACTCTTTCTGTGCTCTTGACTTCAACAGCCATGGAGACAAAAGAATTTCGGTTAAAGACGGTCAACTAACTCACGACATGATCTATAAAAAAAATAAAAAAAATTGGACAATTTCAATTCATCATCGCGGAACATTGCAATGTACCTGCCGGGGTCCCCTGTGGCGGAGCATTTTGGAGCCTTATTGAAATATCCCGTCATGAAAATTGAAATTCGGCTCATCTGACTGCCGCAATCTCCCTTGGCACGACCGGGGAATTTCTCGCCACGGCAGAGATGAGAATTCATCTGGAAAGGATAGAAAGATCGGAAGACAATATAGGCCTACGTACTTGCTTTTATGTAAAGGCACAGTGTACTTGCACCATGCAGAGAACTTCCGGTAGGATGAGAAAGATTCAAATTTAAGCAACCAACGAATATGATCGCATCTAAAGCCTACAAACAGACAAACAAACCAAGAAACAAAACAAATAAACCAACAAACAATTCTTTTAATATAGTTTTCCGTGTCGGCGGTTGCCATTTTTAATAACAACAGGGGAAATAATCATCGCACTAATTTTCCTTGCAGTTTTTTATATCAAATTACCCACAATATTTCACGGGTGCTGTTATTTAAACTATTCTTTGGTGTCCGCAGGAGACAGAAGGGTTAATTTCTTCCCCAGGCGGCATTTTCATCTCTGACATTTCACGAAACAGTACACTGGGACCGTCAAGCTTGAAACAATACCCCTCGCGTGTGGGACCATTTCATCCAGAATCAGAATAACATTATTGAACAGTTTGAGGAATCGAATTGTACTCGAGTCGTCTCCACAACAGGAGGATATACAATGACAATTCGAAACAGTCGGACTAAAAAAAAAGCAGAAACTCGATACGGAACACTAGAAACTGCACGCGTTACAGTTAAATTGTGTTCCTGTTCTGATCTCCCAAGTGAATTTCTCACCGCAAATTGTCTATGTAAAAGAAGCTTGTGATTTCGCTCGTTTCTTCGAGAAGGCAACATTTGGACAGATCAGTACCTAGAAGAAATTGGAACGGCGTCGTTATAATTATCGACGGCAGTTGACAAATGCTGCTGAGAAGACATCCATGGCAACGCATTATTCTGTGTGGTTAAAAAGGTGTTTTTTCTTCTTTCAACTAAGGAACTCAGCCACGGGGCATCAGACTATTGATACTCGATATTTTTGAATCTCTCTCTCTCTCTCTCTCTCTATACCAAAGAAAGAACCTTTCTACCTTTCTACCACATTCGACAGTATGAAAAGAGCGTTGATAGATTATTGCCTAGGACGGTCAATTTAGCAGGGTGTCGTTGAACCGACGTCAGAAGTTTCCAAACAACGAAACGTTTTACTTGAGCACACTTTACTTGTTCCTGTTGTCCAGTGAAAACGTTGATTTTCCCGCGAGAAATGCGCGCCAACGTCGAATCTATTCCCACGTGTCGTCCCCATTCTTCTTAAATTCACATTAACGGAGCCACGTGTCACGCGCTCTATCCGTCTAAGTTCAGACAACCAGGCATGCGTACGAAGTGCGTTGCCTGCAGCTGGCAATTCGTGTGTCACTAATAGACCTATCTATAATGCAAAAATGCCAGAAGAGAAGACTTGTAAGACAGACAATATTTAGGGTTGAAATAATAATGACACCCACACCTGAGTGTTGAGCACCCGTCTAGACCTTGTATCTACAACATACCTCGGGGAAATAGCGAGACGAGAACCCAATTACAGCTTTATACAAACCAACGTAAATTCTCGGGAAATTAAACATTTCAACGTTTTGTGAAGGTTCCGCATTGGCAGGTATTAAAAAGACTCTCTTAAGCTACGTATTCACGTTTTCGAATTTTTTTTTATAGATGTGTGCCTATATTGGCAGCTGTTCTTTGGGATATTGGTTATGAAGACCTGCCCATCACTGTTGATGTCATTTTCAAGGCCAGCTTTTAAGGTAGGCAGATTTAAGTGACATTGCATTAGAGATCCATTACCTTGGGAGAAATTTTCTTGCCATTCATATCATGGGTTCTTAGTTGAATCTGGAATGTCACGAAATTTAACAAAATTTGACAAATACGGTTACGATACCCTCTACCTAGAATGTTTCTTTCCATATCTTCCTGGCAATGAAAAAACGCCGTTTAAAGCATTCATATTCATAACTAGAGCACACGATATACCAGGCAAGACATGGGACAAAAGGGTACCCCCCTTACCTGTGCAATCCCTATACATACTGTAGACTATTGTTACCTAACACATCCCCCTAGAAGTCTGTAAAGAATTCCTGAGATTCCGATCAAACAACGACCCACATAAAGGCGGGGGGGGCTCTTTCTGTCCCATATCTTGCTTCAAATGGCACACGAGCATGTTCCTGAGACGTGCAAGTACATACGATCCCTTTCATTGTCACGTTCATATGTGGTCGCGGGAATTCGGATTTGCATAATCGAAGGAGACAAAGACAAAACAATTTTGATGCGTCGGAGCTTCTCGGGCCATCGTGCTTTGAAAAAGCGCGCGCTGAATAAAGGAAACTCAGAAGTAATTTTGCACTGAACGCGCACCACATTTGACACACTGACAAGTCTTGAAGTCAATGAATCACCTTTCTCTTGAATAAGCTGACTTGAATTAGTTCTGGAATCTTTTTTTAAAGTTATTGCAAATGTTTGGTGTCATACTTCCTTCCTGGATAAACAGCAGCGATATTTCAAAGACACGCTCCATAACGCTTTTTAACTAATGGAAATCGACCAAGCAAACGGAGCCAATTAAGTAGCGTCTACCAAGCTGTCGACAACCCCAATCCATTTCCTTGGATACTGTTATGACCGAGAACAGTCACAACTCCCTCGACGCTGTGCCGTGTTCCCACCGTTTCCCCGTTCCACACCACACGTTAACCTGTCACGATTTTTCGTCTGCGCAAGTTTCATCTTTTTTTCCCTCCCTGAAATTACTCTAATGATGAACAAAGCGATTAATTTTTATTTTGTTGAGAATCTCTTTAGGAGATATATTGTTCGTACACATCGCAAAAGCTGATAAATTACTTAGTTTTATAGTAATTCACTCTCATACTTTTCGTAAGTAGTGTTGGAATGTTGTAAAGTAGTGCTTTAGCAATCCTTACCCTAGTCCAATATTAAATAATTTTAGCTGAACTAAGTCTAATCCTGTCCCTAAGTAATCTAACCAGTGAAAACAAAATTACCAATAATGTTGCAGAAGTGTTACCTCGAGCTTTGGTCTCCCCCCAAAAGCTTCGGAAGGTTAGCCATCTTTCTGTTTCTATGTTGGTGCTGGTCTTGGACCAGTGGCGTTATTAACCAATGAGGATTGTTGATTTTATGCCTTTGGTTATCAAGCGATGCTACCCAATCCTTAGCAATTAAAAGAAATAGAACCTTATCGAGAAACGTTGCGTACCAACGTCCTGGGCCCCGGAGACGCAAATCGTCTATAATGCAACATTCATTATATTCTTTCGTTCGTCTCATGACAAAGTGAACTTCCCAGCGAACGTACAAATTTTTCGCAGTGCAGTCTAGAGAAGGCTGTTTGCTTCATCAGAAAATGTAAAGAAGATGCACTACAAAGAAAAATGAAGCGTTACCATTTCCTTAAGGCCTTGTTTGTGTCTCATGACATTCAAAATCTTTGGTATGGACCAGTGACATTCTTTAGCTTTTAATATGATGCATTGATGACACTAAAACATTTTTTTTTCGAATTCCAAGATCCTGTGGGTTTCATCATTTATTCATTACTAATAAATTCTAAGGATCCACTGAGCACCAATATAATATTCCCTACATTAATCTCATTAATATTTATCCGATTTTCACTAACCACAATATGATATGCATATATCACCTTGATCGTAAGTGCGTTGGATGTTCATAAGTAATGCGCTGTGGCCTTCACCTGAAGACGCAAGCGAACAAAGTCGGTCCTTAGCCAATATGGCCGCATAAAGCCGTCATTTAGGCATATCTCTGATTGCCTCTGCATTACATGACTGACAATAATTCCTCACCCCATGGTCCGTGTAGCAGCGGGTTGCTCCCCAGCTATAAATACCGGTACCCATTTGCCCCTAGGTGGAGAGAGGCAAGTAGGGGTGCAGCGACGTACCCACTGCACCCAGCAAGTGGGAAGCAGCTGGGTTCGAACACCTGATCACGTCACAGCCCCGCACCCACAAGGCCACTCTCCCCCGACACCTGAGGTAGAGGCTGTATTGAAGTGCCCAAAAGCTTGTTATACTTACAAAAGTTCAGCTGCTCAACTCTTGCCGCGTGGTATTCTCGAAAATAAGATGCACCGACCGAATGTGATTCCCCTGCAGAGTATGTTCTTACAGATTGTGTTGTTAAAAAGCTGTTTTCAGCATTCTAAATTCTCTAATGATGTCGTCAGTTCTCGACATCAACTAAATTTTAGCTCAATTATCTTTAATAGTGTCCATGTCAATTTAATAGCCTTTTTCGATGACAGTGCAGTGACACTGTGAGTAGCTTGGAACATTTCGAGTAAATTTTACTGAGACAAATTGTTTTTTAAAAATGTGAACACGACCAAATCCATCGTTCATCGTGAACGGCAAATTGTTCCGTTGTTTCAAGACGGAGTTTGTCCCTCAGAATAATTTGAGGACAAAAATATCGAATGATCAGGCAAGCTCTACTCTTTAAGCTCCACCCTAGGATATCGACTCAAGTGAGATCGAAATGGGACTTTGACCAGATAAATAATCTCTTCGTTTGCCCGAAGTGCAGCGGAACATGATAAGTGAGCTTACCGTGGGTGATTCGGGGGGGGAGCGATCGGCCTAGGTGCCCCGTCGCCTCTTGCTTGATCCATTCACCGACCGCCAGCGAGTCTTACCACGCATCATCCTCAAAATCCTCTCCCACACTCCGGCGAATTGCCTTTCGTGTCATTCCTGTTCCCTCTCTAATCATCGAGCAATAGCAACTTCCCCCACGGCCGGATGTACACGACAGCGGGACGCGTACGCTCACACTGATGTCAAGTGACTATTCGGTTTCCTACGACTTCTCGCTGGCGCTACGGGTAGATTCGGTATCGATCCCTAATTTCACAAATTGCTGCGGTCTGAAACATAAGACCCCGAGCCAGCGGCGGTCTGGTGCAAAGAACCTTTTGTTAATATCCAGTCGATCAGTCGGATTAATCCAAATCAAGTCCCGAGACCTCAGGTCATATGTAAACATTCGGGTGATTCGGGCGCTCTTTTTCCCCTGCTCACCCGAAAGTTTAATTGGACAGGGTGGTTGGCTCCAGATTACGTCAAGTGGCAACACGCCATAGTAAAAACACTAACACTGAAGATCTCCGTCATCTGTGCGGTTTTTCTTATACTGCATGGCATTTGCCATTCGAGAAAGAACAGGTGCTCCTTCACCATTATTTATGCTCACACATTCCAATCGGTACCTCTTGAAACTCTGCTGCCTTTGTTTTTACTTAATTATGCATTTAAGTAATTTTTTCAATGCAAATAATTAAATTATGAATGTAATTATCATCGATAATGTTTAAAAAATAACCAACCAGTTCATTGATGTACTGCGTGTATCTTTTCATGTTTTGAAGTCGAAATAGTGGAATAACAGATAATTCGATTTATAAATTATATTCGATTCATATCATAACGCCTGGAGGCATTAGCAAGAATTCATCTTCTGGGGAGAAAAATCATTTCTTGCTTTAGCGATTCTCTTCTAGAATTTACCTGAAAGACACTCCACGAGGCGGGGCAGTAAACAGAGATTGTCCGCTTTTTTCCCCCTTTGATCGCATCCGCCACCGGAAGAAAGCACTTAAGCAAATTGGGCTAACGATCGATGGGTAAAGGTAGAGAGGGATCCTTAGGATGTCTTATTCTGAACGTAGCTCGTTCTTCGAACAAGAGTTCGAGGATGATTAGGGAGTTAATCTTATTTGAGACTGGGAGGCAATTAGGTTGACCCCTTTCCACCTCCTGGTTTCCGGGGTCATTATATCAATTTTGTCACATAATGGGTTCTTTTGTGGCATACTCAAATGTAGGTTTGCTGTTTCCATCTTGCTTATTTAGGGCTCAGTGTGTTTATCATACTTAGGAATGGTCAGCAGTTCTCACGTCTTCTAAATAGACCATCCGTGCTATTACCATGTCATTCAGTCACATCGCTAATGATGTCGTCATTACTGTTTCATAGTGTTCGATTCAAGATCTCTGATGACTGACAAAATCATCGGAGGATTTAATTGCATTTCCATCGAGATTTTGTTCAGCCGTGATAACAATCATAGTAGCCATGGATAATGACATTAAAGCAGTGTCTCCAACGATATATATGAATATTTTTTTAGGAACGGAGCCTCTGCTTGGCGACTTCAGGGAAGGAGTCCGTGATCTCATTTTAAGACTGATTAATCTTGCTTTACACGGCCAGGCCCGGCCTGATTAAACTGGAGTCAGAACCTGGCGGGAAAAATGTTGGTGTAGTTCATCGAGCCGGAAGAATCCGAGCCGGGTGTCAGGTCCTCGCGCCCGACCCCTCGCAAGCCACCCTTGGTAAATGCGATTGGAAGCCCGGTTCATCATCCCGGGCACAGCAGCAGACGTCTTAGGACGACGGTGATGCCTTAAGGTATTTGGTGAAGAGCTTCCCCAACGTTCTGAGAAAGCAGAGCAGGTCATTGCATTTCCCCGTGTCTCCTGCTGAAGTTTTACTCGGTGAAAACCGGCGTCCATTGTGGGGACGCGATATCGGTTACGCTATAGATCTCGTTTGCATTAGCTGCTCCGGAACACTCCTGCATATGGATTTGTTCGACCGTGTGTTGTTTTTTTGGTCCCACATTTCCTCAAGATATTCGCCCGAGGTGCCAGGCAGTGTCGCTGACCTAAATGAGACATTAGACGTCAGG